TATCATTTACAAATGAAATGATCGATACTTTTAATCTAGAGCTAAATTTATTAACTTTCCCATCGGAGAGAGAGATGTATTGACTGCAGGGGGGGGCGCCCCCACGGGCAGGAGGAGCCGACGGCGGCCAAGCAAGACGGATGCTCCTGCAGGCCCCCGGGTGGCCTGGTGGGGCGGAAGCTGCTGGCCGAGCTCACTGGGTTTGCCCTTCGAGCACACCTACCTTGCGACCAGCCTTGTTCGATTTGATTAGGACAAGTGCCAAGTCCTCCACCTAGGAAAAAGGAACCAAAGGCAAGATGGGGAATACTTGGCTCGAGAAAACTGCAAAAGGAAAAGATCTCGAAGTAATTGTGGACAATAGGCTAAACATGAGCCAACAATGTGATGCAGCCAGCAAAAGGGCAAATGTTAACGGAAGTATTACTTCCAAATCACGAGAAGTAGTAGTTCTTCTCTACTCCTCACTAGCCAGACCTCACCTAGAATAGTGTCCAGTTATGGGTACCAAGATTTAAGATAGATGCAGGTAAATTAGAGAGGGTCCAGCGCAGGGAAACAAAAATGGTCCAGGGTTTGGAAACTCTGCCCTGCGAGGAGACACTGGGAGAACTGGGCATGTTCAGCCTTGAGAGGAGAAGACAGAGGGGGGACATGGTATCCCTCTAGAAGTACCCCGAAGGCTGTCACAAGAGGAAGGTCAAGCTCTCTTCTCGCTGATGCCAGAGTGCAGGGCAGGGAATAATCTGTTCAAGCTGCCACAACCCAGATTCAGGCTGGACATCAGGAAAAGCTTCCTCACTGTCAGAGCAGAATGGCTGTGTCAATGGGGGGGGGGGCTCTCCCACACTAGAGACATTCAAGGGGGAAATGGGCAGCCCTCTGAGTGGGAGGGTGCAGTGGCCACTTCCAACTCTATTCCATGATTCTGAGTCATCCCAGGACTGGGGGGGGGGGGGGGGGGGCGGGAGGACGGCCCGGTGGGGCTGCCTTCCAAGCGTGCCGCCTGCAGCCCTGAGCTTTCCCCGGCCAGCCACTAGGCTGCTGTGGGGAATGGTACCCCTAAAGACCTCGAGAGCAGCCGGGGGGAGAAGAGCGAGCTGGCAAGGGGCAGCCATGCCTGCACTGCTAAAAAGGAGGACATGCACCATCAAAAATCCGACCCAACGAGGCTGCCGACTTCCATGCTTTCTGCATGGGCCGGGTGATGTGCACTTACCGGTTGCCTAGGTGCGAACTGTGGAAGGCAGTGTCAAGCTCTGCTTTCATACAGCTCGTTATCTTTTAATTGGATTTGAGCAAGACAGCCTTCCAGCGGAAGGAAGCCTTCAAACGCAGGATTTGCCTCCAAGAGCTTCCAACAGAGAACTGTCCTCTGTCAAGCAGGGCATCTGGTTGTGCTCGAGGAGTGGATATTTGTCAGGCAATGCAGCTGAAGCAGAGTTGGGCTGCTTGAAACCTGCAGTGGTTTAAGGCCCGCATGCCTTTTAAGGGCTGCAACCTTTATGCCAAGAGAGTAATTGTTGGGGGACAAAGAATGGGCGGGGGGGGGGCGCAAAATTCCACAGGGCCGTTGATCAGGAGAGGATGCTCTGCTTTTAACCTGGACAAAGGTGGGCGCACGAAGGTGAGTGGCACCCTCTCCTTCCTCACCCGATGTCCCCATTTCTCCTGGCTACTGTAGCGTAACTGAACCAGGCTAAGGAAAAAGAAGTCCCGGCAGGGCAGAGCCATCACTAGAGTGGGGCAAGAATCAATCTCCTGTCAGGCAGATGGGAGTCCTTGGGGAAAATGGAATCTTAAGAACAGGCTGCGCGTTAAAAGACCACCTTACCAAGGTCCAGGTATGTTCCCCGTGAAGTGGATGAACTTCAGGGTTACCCAGCCCTTCCTTGCCTCTTTTGGGCGCCCTGCCTTTCAAAACTAAAGTGCAGGAAAGACACTTCTGAGTGAAGGCACCTTGCAGGGGCTGGCCAATACAGAGAACCAAGAGCAGAAGTAATTCTTGCAGGGTCTTTATAGAGCTATTGGAAAACCAGTGGAAAAGGGAAACGGGCCCCGTGTTTTGCCTCTCCGGCACTTTTCTCCTAGCCTCAGCCTTTGACCATATGTGAGGTGGGGGAAAGTGCTGGGCACAACAGAGCCGGGGTGGATACGCTGAACCCCCCTTGCCCACGGCTGTTTGAAGCTGAACCTCCATCACAGGAGAGGAGCACGGATGGGAACAGCCAACAGGGCCAAGCTGATTGCAGCTTAGCTTGGGCTCCGAAAAACCTGATCTGTGCCCCCCCCCCTTTGCTCCCCGCACGGCCTGCAAAACGCTGTCCTCTTTCTAACCACAGCTGGCAAACGGCAGCAGGGGCAGCGCGCTCCTGAGCACAGTCCTGGACGGAGGGAGCTTTAATCCCCCCCCCCCCAAGTGGCCTTGCAGTGGCTCAGATCAGGTTTCTCATTGCTACTGGGAGCACCTCAAGCAGTGAGGAAAGGTGCTCTCTAAGGGCCCTGCAGAAAGCTGCCCGGGTGTGCCAGGCTCGCAGGGCGCATGCACTCTCTGAACGCTGCTCTCCATCCTCTCTCCCCAGCTCCCAAGGGAACATGAGGACCCAGCAGGGGTTTGAAAGGAATCCATCACATCCACCCAGGGCTTGGAATGCCTCCTGCAGTCACGTACATGCTTTCTAGTTGAAGAAAAAAGTGGGTGCAGAAATAGAGGGATGGAGTCAGAGCAGATTTGTATAATGCCCGGCATTCCAAATCTGGCCACAATGGGAATTGTAGCGCAATGCACTTCGAGGGCGCTCTATTCCTGCTTAATGACAGAATGCAGGGTGGATGTTGTGGCTAGTTCAGCATGAGCCGAAGATTGGACTTGCCGTGATTAATTTGTGCTCCCGTGAAAGAGGTGGTTTGAAAGAAGGATTAGCAGAAGCAAAACTCAAGTCTAGACTGGCGGTTGCTGCAATTCAGGGTTTCTGGCATTCACAAGCAATTCCAAGGACTGAATGCTGTCACCTTGTGCTCATGCAAGCAGAGTCCTGACTGGATTCCTTGATCCAAAAGGCTCAACCCTGTCCCTGCCACAGGCCTGCGGTTCTTGAGGTGAAGAGCCACGTAGGTAGCATGCTGCAAGCCATGCGGCGCCCGACAGACGGGGCCAAGCTGCCTCCAAGCAAGCCCTCTGCTCTGCAGCGCATGGCGGAGATCCTCCGGTGCCGAATGTACACAAGGGAAGGGGCCATTTCCCAGGGAGGGTGCTCCCTGCTCCCTTTCCTGCCTTCATCCAAGGAGTGATGCACTAGCCCCAGGGGGCTGGAGCGTCCGGCACAGGAGCATTCCTGCAGCACCCAGTCCAATCACCAAGGAGACTAAAGGAAGCTGTTTTCGGGCCTGCAAGCAGGGCAGCTGCAGGAGCAGGGGCTGCCCTTTGAGTCCTGGAAGAGGAAAGCCCCGTTCCTCGTCAGAGGGGGGCCCCACGAAAGGGGACAGTGGGAGAGGTTGCAGCACTGGCTCCAGGACTTGGGAAGGGCAGGTGAGCCCAGGAAGCATCTTCCTTGGAAAAGCTATCGCATGCTCACATGCAGAGCCCTGGCAACCTGCTTCTGACCCTCTTGGGTGCTCCACGCAGTGTGTGACGTGGTTGGGGTGCTGGTGGGACCTCCACCAGTCTTGGGGTCTTGGAGAAAACTTGTCCTTCTCACAAGCTGGCCCTGCATGGTTGGAGCAGGAGGCTGTCTCACAGCAGAAATGGACTCACAGCAGCTGCTAGAACAGCGTGGGAAGCCCGGTGCACTGAATTGGCCAGGGAATCAGGTGAGGCAAAGCCATTCCTCGCACAGCCCAAGAAACTGGGGAGTCACCAGGAACATGAGGGGTTTTGATGGCTGTTTCGGTTGCCTGCACCAGCAAACAGTCAAAACAAGCTCTCGGAACCATCGCCAGCCAACCATACAGCTAGGCAGGTGCTGCTCCAGAAACTTGTCTGCAATCACAGCCTAGAATTCACCACAGAAACCCGAGATCGATCCCCCCCTTTAGGCTAGAGAGAAAAGGGCTCACGAGCGCATTTTGCTTCCAGCACACCAGGCTTAGGGTTCCCATACTGCTGCCTCCCTTACTGCCATGGATTTGTGGTAAAACACTCTGCCATTCAACACAGAAATTAGGCCCTACTACTGCAGGGCTGTGCATCTCGAAGGCTCATTTCCATATTGGCCTGCCAGGCAGCAGGGCAGCCACTGGGGGGGGGCGGAGGGAGCCTGCAATGCTCTCTCCAGAGGGCAAGAGCACTGGAGCACCGGCAACGGAGTGGCCAACCAGGGCACATTCACCGAGCAGAAGTGCTGCTCCACAGACGAAGCAGGTCACCTCGTGCTCCAAGGGGGGTCTGCTCCTGCTGTGAGCGGCCAGCATGCACAAGCGTGTGCAGCCGGACTGGCCAGGGCCAAGGGGTCAAGCACTGGTGGCGAGACTGAAAGGAGGCTCTGGCAGAACACCTGAAAGGGCACATGCTGCTGGCGGTGATGGCTGGGGAGCAACTGCAGCTCTGCGGCAGGCTCCCAGGAAGTCCCGGCTCCGAAGCAAATCAGAGGGAAACGGAGATCAGCCCAAGGGGGCTTTGGTTTTTCCATTCTATCCACGCCACAGTCCAGGAATTGAGGTAAGTGGTGTGCTAGATGCCAATCAAGGATCTGGCCTGGGAAAAGGCCAAGAGGGTGGCTTCCAGGCGGAGAAATGGAAGCATCGCCCTTCCAGCCTCTCACTACTGAGTTTCCGCAGCGCTGCGTTATGGATGAGCAGGAGAACTTATGATGAAACACTGGGCAGAGGGAGGGTAAGGCAGCAGGGGGAAGGGGAAGGGGAAGACGAGCTTGCGGCTGGCAGCGAGCCACGCTCTCGTGCTTCCCCCGCAGCGTGTGCGGAGGAGAGGGCGGGGGCCTGGGACTCGCGAGATGCCCTGAGGCTTCAGTTACTGGGTGGAACAGAAGAGAAGTAAGTACAAATATTATTAATGTGACTTTACTATTAACAGCAAGTGCCTCTGCGGTGCCTTAAAAGCTCTCTCAAGCAGCAGTGGGGGTGGAAGGGGGTGCAAGGGCAGGGACAAACTTATGTGACTGAACACTGCTTAAAACCCATTTAAAAAAAAACATCACCTCTCACGCTTCCCATGCTCTCGATTCAGGAGTTCGGCGATGGAGGTGCCTGCTTGCATCAGCAGATGCTAAAAGCCTCTTCTGAGCCAAAATTAGGAAGGATCAGTTTGAAAGTCAGATATGGGTGTGTGTGTGGTTCAGGCTATGGCTATTTATGGCCTCTCCCTGTAAGTGGATAAAGTTCCCCAGCCGCAGAGGTCCATCTGAGTCAAAGCTGTCTCTTCTGCCATCATTGCACTGACCGTACCCCAAATCTTTTCCTAACTTCGGGGTCATCCCATCTCTGCATGCAACCAATTTTGGCAAACTATGCTCTGCTCCATTCTGCTCCTCGCCTCACAAAATAAGAAAAAAAAAATGCATAAGGAAAGGGAGGGGAAAGAGTTTCCACCTTCCTATCCAGGAACCTTTTGAACAAGGTCCCTTCTCAGTTCTAAGAACTCAAATTGTACACAGTTTCTGAGCTCTGCCGTTCTCTTTTAAAGGCAGTGAGGGAACGCACACCACAAAATCTCCCTCTGTATCATTTAATTATAAAATGCCGCTGAATCCATGCAGCTGCAGTCTGTTCGTCTCCTTTTTCGGAGGGCAGGCGGGAGGAATGGAAGAGGAAAGTGAGATCTGTGCCTTTCCCCCAGGATGGCCAAGTGTATGGGGAGCTACGAGAAGCGTCTGTCCCAGGAGGGAGATGCCCAGCTGTTCTCACAGCCATGTCGGCCCACGCAAAAGCATGCCTGCAGCACACTTGCGCGGATGCGTGGCCAGGCGGTGGCCCGTGTCGCCACCCCGACTGCGGTGGGGGGCCCCGGCTGCCACTGCCTGGACAACCTGCCAAGCCAGGAGGATGCAGACGGGCCTTCTCCTTGTGCATGCCTGTGGCAGCTCTGCTGGAGGGCTGCTGACGGAGGACAGCCCAAGGTGGAGGACCCGATGCTGCTCCAGGTGGGGCAGGTGCCACGAGGCCGAGGAGGTCTGGGGGCGGCCGGCTGTGTAGCAGGAGCCAGGCCGGAAAGCTCAGGAGCGGCTCCGGTCTTCGTGGCTGCACAGGAGGGTCTTGCTGTAGAGCTTCTGCTGCTCCTCTCGGAAGGTGTCCTTCACCCTTTCCCTCTTCAGGCCTCCATCCCTGGGGGAAAGGGAGAAGACGGTGGCCAGGAAGGGAGACAACTAAAGGTGCAGGCAGGCGGGGGACGGAGTGAACGAAGGCGGCGCTCTGCAAATTCTGCCCACACTTAGCCACTTCGGTATGCGAGCCCAGCACGTGAACCTTCCAGGTGGCACAGCCTGCGGGCATGCGGGACTTTCCCCCTGCAGACGGGACCGCTAAGCTCTGGGCTGGCCCCGCACAGCAGCAGGCAGGAGTCCCAAGCCCTGGAGGCTCTTCCCAGCTGCTGACTCTGTGGGGAGTCCCGAAATGCAGGGAGCTGCCTAAGCCAGAGTCAGGCCATTGGTCCATCTACCTCAGCATGCCCGCTCGGACTGGTAGCCGCTCGCCAGCAGGGGCCTGCACAGAACTGCCTGTGCATAAAGGATGCGCTGCTCTAGGACCGACCGTCCACGAAGCGCAGGCCCTGGCTTTAGGTTTTGGAGCACACAACTCTAGAACAGAACTAGAAGTTTTCAGGCAACAGCTACACAAAGTTGCGTGTGTGCGTGGTGGGGGGGGACGGCAAGCATGCACGCACATGCGGCACACAGAGGATGTTGTGCACCATGTACACATGCGAGGAAGTGGCAATCAGGCCAAGCATCTCCGGATGAGGGCCTGCACGAGGGGACGCTTGCACATGCAGCCGTGGCGCAGGTTTTACTCAACAGATTGGAACAGTTTACAGCCAACGCTTCTTCCCTGAGGCGATCAGAGTGGCGAATGCCGAAAACAGTGAAAATGATGCAAACAGGCAGAGCAAACAACGGAACTCACAAAAGCCCCGAGTCAAAAATCGGATTATGAAGAAAGGCCTAAACTGACCCTCGGGTGCACGGACACCTCACAGAGACCTGGAGGGATGGCAGGAAGGGCTGCTGTGGAAAAGCTGGGCTCTTGGGCAGGTCTGTGCTGCAACCTGGTCCAAGGGGCTTCAGGGGTTTATGGGTTAAAAGTGGCCCGGATTTCATGTTTTTGCAGAAGGGTTTCTGTGTAGGGGAATTGCTAACATGTGAAGCAGCCCTGAGCCCTGCAAGCTTCCAATGGAAGAATCTTCCACAGAGCTGCCATTAAGAGGAGAGTGGAGTGCCAGGTGCGGAGTGCCAGATGCCTGGGCACAGCTGACCCCCACGAAGGCTCCACAGACTTGCCGGAGGCCTGCCACACGTGGCCGGCAGCTCTCACACCTGCCTGGAGCTCAAGCTGTGCTCCAGGCAGAGTTCCTACCTTCCCGCCCTCATAAGCCGCTTAAGTGGGCTCCTGCTGGGCAGGAGAGGGAAAAGCTGCGTAGGACGGCGCTCTTCAGTAGCCGTTCGGTTCACGATGGCATCCCCACGCTGCTTCCCCCACACCCTCTTCCAAGTGGAGGACCGCTCCTCCTGCTCAGATGCAGCTCGGGGGTTGTTGAAAAGCACAGGAGAAAAGCATCCCCAGACACGTCTCTTGCTCGCAGCTGGGGAGCCGCAGGGGCTGGAGGGCGAGGGAGTCCCGATGATCCTCCGGTCTGGAGGTGTGCCCTGTGGGAGTGCACATGCTCCGAGGCCGGAGCGGTCGCCGTGCCAGGCCAGAGGGCCCAAGCGCCTGACTCAGCAGGTCACGCGTCGGTCGCCACTCCCTTCAGCCAGCCTCCCCGCCAGCCCAGGGTCAGCAGCCAGGCAGACTCGGCTCCAGGACTCACCACAGGAGATCCACGAGGCCGCCCTGCCGAGCGATGGCCGACTTCACCCGATTGGCAAACTGCACGGCGTCCTCCTCAGGCTGAAAGGGAGAGCAGAGAGGGCTGCGTCTGCGGAAGGGCCCTGGTGGGGCCGCCACCACCTCCCCCGCTCACTCGAGGCCCCGCTCGCTCACCTCCCTGGTCATCGGAGGCAGGTACCAGACGCTGCAAACGATGGCCCAGCTGCTCATCATCCTCAGCAGGTAGGTCACCATGCCGTGCTTGCTGCTGTTAAAAAAGGCGTCCCCAAACTGGGGGTCGTACTGCAAGACAAGAGGGCGGGCTCGGCGTGAGCAGGCCTGCCACCCCCTGGCCCAGGGGCAGCGTGCGCCAGGGGAAGGGGAGCATTCCCGATGGGATCCGTATCCACATCTGCCTCCCGAGAGCTCGGAGCGCCTTCGGCGCGGCTCTCCCTCTTATCCTCGCGGCACGTTCCACTCCCACGACGTGGCGACTGAGCCCACCTTGATGGCCACAGGATAAACCGTGGCACTGATCTCGAAGCTCCCTTTCTTGAACATCATCACGGAGGTGTTGTTGATGCACGTGCCTGCGGAGAGAGGGGGCGGCAGCAGCTGAAGGGAAGCAGCGAGGGACGGCGGCTGCAGGGGCCAGGAGTTGTGAGCGTGAGGGGGCTGCCATCAAAGAGCCCAATTCCCAAAGTGGCCCGAATGGCAGGCACCTCCGGGTTGAGACAGGGCGCAGTGCCTCGTTTCGCGGCAGAGAGTAGACTTCCCACCCGAATGGCGGCTCCCCATTAGGCGCCAGGAGTCCGGGTCTGGGGCTTCTACTACAGTTGCTTAGCTCTATGGCTTTGAGGCCTCTCCTTCCATTGCCATCAGGGCCCTGGAACACCTCCGGGCCTGCGGACCCCACTCGGCTCCTTTCATTCTTGCTTACCTTCAGGGAAAATAAGGATGGGCAGCTTGCTTTTATCGTGCGCGTGCTCGGACAGCCTGAGAGAAAAGGAAGAGGTGGCGGAGGACAAGGGTAAGCAGGCGCCTGGCTGTTCCGGGTGCACACTGCATTTCAGCAGCCACGGTGGGGGCCCGGGGTTCTGGCTTCCAAAGTGCCCGGCCTGCACAATGTAGAAGAGTGGCACCATCCCAAGGCGACACTCGTCTTCCTGACACGCCTGCCGCGAGCCCCTGCACACGCTCTTCGCTCAGTATAGAGCACCAGCCGGGGGGTTGCATACCCACCTCTTAGCCACTAGATGGCGATCCTTCACCTCAGAGCGCTCAAACCAGACGTGGGGGCAAGCCTTCACCATGGCCCTCTGCAGCACCCCCATCAGGCCCCCCTGGACCTGGCCCACCTGCGTGAGGGAGTGGAAAGGAGCCTGAGCTTACTCTCCAGAATTTAGGAATTTTTAAGAAAGAGGGTGCATCAGAACTCTGCTCGCTTGCATGCGTGCTCTCTCTCTCTCTCTCGTGCATGCGCTGACCCGATTCCCCATCCTCACCATGGCATAGTAGCCATCACTGGCCAGGATTATGACATCAATAGGGGAAGTGTGGTTTGCCACACAGATTCCTCCACTGCGGGGTCTGTTTTCCCTGGAAGGAAAGGCAGAGAGAGATTAGGGTGAATCCCTGGCGGATCAGCTCCACCCGCCTCTGCTCCTAGGATGGATGCCCTTCAGGACAAGGATCAGCCGCGCCTGGCCCTTCGGATGATGGCACCAATCCCACCCAAGCCTCTGTGTGCTCTGAACTTAAACAACAGCAATCCTGAAGCTCAAGCTTAGTTTAAATAGCATTTTCCTCTCAATTCTGCCTTTCCGGAAAGAGGAAGGAGCTAAGCAGGACGGTGACAACCCACCTCTCTGGCCCCCGGGACCTCATTCCGTCATCTCACATTAGATTTCTAGAGTTTTTCTTACAAAGAACTCAAGCGGCTTACTTCAGTCACCTCCTCCTGCTCTCAATCTGATCCTCACAACACCCACCCTGTGAGGTAGGCTGGGCTGAGTCTGCGACTGGCTCAGAGCCACCCAGTTGGCTCCATGGCCAAGCGGGTACTGGAACCCAGATCTCCGACGTCCCACGCGGCCTCTTTCGGCTTCCTGAGATCTCACTGGGCTTTGCCCACCCACTTTCAAGCACACCTCTGCTCTAGAACCTGTCCCTCGAAAAAGAGGAGGAAGCTGAAAGCCTCGAGAAACTGGGGCCTGTGGTTAATCGCGCCTCCAGCAAAGCTGCTCTGCTCCCACCCACAGGCCCGGGGGCAGCGCTCCCCTTCCCTGGGCACATGTGCCACGGACTCCCACCAGCCTGCGCCATACCGGTGGTGGTAGGTGATGATCGCTGTGAGGGCTCGCACACAGATCCGATAGCACATCAGGTGCACGTGCTTGCTCAGGAACTCCTTGCACCTAAAGCAGCAGAGAAACCACCCTGTCAGGCCATTATCTGCGGCAATGCCCAGAACGTGACGCCCCTTCCTGACAAACAGCGTTGATACGCCTGCAGGAGAGAGTGGAAACACACTTTTCCAACGGCTACAGAGCAGGCAGTCTTTAGTGCCACTGCCTGGAAGTGGTCCTTTGATGCCGCCACATAACAAGCTGCCTTCTCTGGAGCCAGACAGCAGCTCCAGCTGGGCTAGTGGCACAAGCTGTGTGTGGCTTCAGCTCAGAGCTTTTCCAGTCCTACCAAGAGACATGAATGACCAACTGTTTTGTGTGCAAAGCAGGAGCCCTACCACTTCCTTTATTTATCTATTTTGGGAGTTTTTATATTTGACTTTTATTGTAATTGCTGAATACTTGCTATGGATGATTATTGTAATTTGCTTTTGCTTACTGTTGGCATGAGTTCTTCTTACATTTTAACTTTGTAAACCATCCAGAGAACTGTTAAGGCTAGCAAGAACAGTACAAAAACATTTTAAACACACAGGCACCCAAGTGCAGCCTCTTCCTGGAAAGCCCACTTCCTGGAAAGCATGGCTTTCGAACAGAAAGAAGCCCCTCCCCTCCCCTCCCCAAATAACACACTGAATGGGGCAAGGCTCCAGGCCGCTCCCCCTCACAAGTGTGGCCTCCAGATGTTTCAGCCTACAATTCCCATCAACCCTCACTAATGGCTGCGCTGGCGAGGGCCGGTGCAAAGAGCCGGCTGCAATGTCAGGAAGGTCTCCACTGTCTACCATCCTGATAAGGGCAGGCAGGAGGCCCCTGCCCCTTGCGAGATGTGGAGGCTCCGCCAGTGGGCGGCTGTGGTGTGGAGCAAGGGTGGCCTGGCTTCTCCTGCTCACACCTTTGACTTGCAGGCCTGCAAAAAGCAGCAGCGGCGGGAGAGGCATGTCCAAGGAACCTCCTTTTCTGGGGGGAAGTCGGCCTCTCAAGATGCCACGCTAAAGGCAGGAGGGGCAGCTGCTGGCAAACACGCTCTGCCCTTCTGTCCTCTGGCTCCTGCTCCACTTCTTGTCTCCATAATTCCCTTTTCCAACTGGCTTCCTGATTCTTGTTCGGAGGCTCAAGTTTTCTTGACAAGCCGACAGCAGCTCCGCACTGCGCAGGAGAAGGCGCCCATCCCCTTTCACCCCTTGCTGAACGGCCTGGAAGAAGCACGTGGAGAAACGGACCCACAGCAGGCCAGCAGCCACTCCGTTCCTCCAACTACTGAGGGCGGCTTGCACCTTTGCTGCTCTCAACTGGCAGTCTTGCAGGAGAACTCACCTTCCATTGGGCAGGTAGCCCACCACTGTTGTGCCGATCACCAAGAGGCTAATGCCCGTGAACGCCAGGGCCACCCTGCAGGAGGGAGGGAGAGACAGACAGGAGGCACCACGTCGAGCTATCATTCACACACAGCCCCATCAGGCTGCAGAACTGGCCCTGGGACAGAGACCGACTGGCGCGCCCTGGCTTATGACTTAACAGGGAACGCAGAACAGCGCTGAAGTGTGGGTGGGGCTCCAGCTCGGGCTTGGGAAGGACAGTTTTCTGCAGGTGTGGTCTCAGAAGGTGCTGCGGGGGCTTTGCTCCACTGCTTGTCTCTGGGGTGCTAAGCGGTTCCGTCCAGCCACTTCTGTTTTTTAACCATCAACATGAAGCTACTGGGGAAGTCGCCAGAACAGTGAACCAAAATGTTATCAAGATGCAGATAACACTGAGCTCCACCGCCTGCTTCCTCCTCCGGTCACGTCCAACTCACGACGCTGTTCTGCGTCGATCAATCCAGGCAAGGCAGAGGTGCCATGGGCTGGGGAATGGACGGGGCTGCACAAGTGCACTTGGACGGGGCTGCGCCACCCCTGGGCCTAGGAGTTCTCCCGGATTCTGTGCTAACCGGGGAAGCCCATGCCCAGGAGTGCCTTCCACTAGGCAAGGGTGGGCCCACAGCTCGCGGGGAACCGCCCCCCAGGGGCGCACGTGCTGCTGACAGCCCGGTGCCACTTCCGTGATGCTGCCTAAGGGGCCAGCAGGGGCGGCGCATCGCGTGATCAGGTGAGCAGTGCAGGTGGGCTGCCAACATCTATACTGCGCTGGCTACCAGTCTGACTTCAGAGCCCAGTTTCCAGTGCTGGTTTCAGCCCTGAAAGCCTCCAAGGTTTGGGACCAGATTACTTGAGGGGGCGTCTTCACTGACGCGAAAGCTCCCACACTGAAAGGCCTGCAAGGGAGGCCCTTCCCACTCGTCCTGTGAGAGCATCCTGGTGGTCCCAGCAAGCCCCTGGCCACAGGCCTGTCAGGAGGCCCAGGAAAGAGATTTGTTCCTTCCAGCCTTTCCTCGAAACGTTTGTTCCCATCACTCTTTCCAGCACTGCTTTCATCGTGTGCTCAACAGCTCCCGGTTATAATTATGTGCTCTTCTGCTGATCACCGCCTGCGATGGCCCCTGCCCAGAAAGGCAGCCAAGCAGTATTTTAAATCAGTGCATGAATCGGCCTGCAAAGGACCTCCGGGAGGCGTGGCCACCGGCCACCCTGGCTTCCCACCTTCCCTGGGGGAGGCCGCGGGGGCAACTGCCACCCAACATTCACCTCCAAGCTTATCCCTGAGGGGACACCAGACTGGCGGCCCAGCCTCCCCACCCTACCTGAGCGGCAGCAGGAAGCAGTAGCGGATGAAGACACCCAGAGCCCAGAGCACCGTCAGGCGCAGGCTGATGTAGTGGAAATTGTAGTTGGTCCTGCTCAGCAAGTTCCATGACTCCAGCTCTTCTGCTGAGAAGCGCTTGGTCACCTCATCATCCATGATACTCTCGACGCCCTTGCGGCAGAAATAGAAGATGTCGGACAGCTCAAACTCGGGGGCATCCAGGGACTTGCTACTGCCGCTCCGCCGGATCTCCTTGATCTCTTCCTCCAGTGACGTGGGGTCCTTTGCGATGATCCCTGGTGCAGACACAAGCCCTCCGGTCAGACAACAGGAAAACCCGAGCCCCTCCTTGCCCCCGGGAGCAGGCAGTGTCGCTCTTACCATTGACATAGGGCTTGTAAAGGGGATGCTTCTTCTCTTTGGCACCACGTTCGATCCTCAGCGTTGCCCACTGCAAGATACGGAGGAGGAAACACTGGGACCTGCTATGCTCTATGTAATGCATGGGCTGTTACCTTAGATGGCTTAAGGACAGGCTGAGCAAGCTCAGGGATGGGGACACGAGTATCGTCTATCCACAAATGCTACCTGCCAATCGACTGAGTCCATCACCCGCCTCCTCAACTTGCCTCCTCTGAGGCATATGGAGGATGACAAGGGAAGAGGGCCTTTTCCGTGATGGCCCCACTATGACGGAACATGCTCCCCAGTGAGGCTTGTGTGATGCCAGCACCGTCATTGTTCTGGAGCCAAGTTAAGACCTTCCTCATTCCCAGGCATAAGAGAACATACAAGAAGTCTGAACTGGCTTTGAGATTTCTATGGTTGATTGGTTGCGTATGTGAAGGGTTTTAGTATTATTGCTTTATATTGTATTTTACAGTTTTGTTCTACTGTAAACTGGTCACACTCTTTGGGATACTGGGCAGTACAGAAATGCAATAAATACACGGGATTCAGGCCCCTGCAGTTCCAGTGCGCAGGATCACGGGCAGAGGCAGGGGCTGTGGGGCCCGCGTCCACTCAGTGCACTCAGCTGTGCGCTGCCTCTGCATACGGCCGCTTGGTTTCTTCACACACCTACTCGTGTCCCTTTTCGCTACGAACTCTGGGGAAGCCCAGCTCCATGCTCCTTTTCGGCAGCAAGGGTGGAGGGCACAGAGAGAGCATTTGTGAGCTGGTTTGGCTAGCGAGGTTGTTGATGACAACGTGAAAGTCTCTTTCAAAAGGCTGTCCGCACTGGCAAATCAGATGTTTTCCACTGGTGCGTTTCACTCTGGTCATGAATTCTTTTACTAGGCTGCAATGTTGTTTTGCCTGTTTTAACGGACTGATTTATCAATGAAAACTGGGTGTTTGCTGCTGGGTGTTGCTGTATGCATGCTTGGTTTTGCACCCCCCTTCAAATGCTTTTCTTCCAGCAGAAAATGTTAACTGTAAACAGAGGCATCCCGACTAAACTCTGGAAAGGATGTGAAACTGGACAGAGATTAAAAGAGCATCTTGAAGCAGATTCTGACCCACTAGGTGACAGGTTTAAGAAACAGGGAAGTGCTGACCCTCAGTCGAAGAGGCTTCGGCACGATAGCGTTGCAAATCCTGGAAGGCTTAGGGCAGGGGTCTCAAACTCAACTGACCTGGGGGCCGCTGGAAGTAGAGTCTGGGCGAGGCTGGGCCGCATCAAGCACCCCACCCCCGCGGTGGGGGTGGGCCGCTCATCCGGAGGCTTGGAGGCCACAGGGCCCCTCCCCCGTGCCCCGCCCGTCCCGGCCATTGGCCCGCGGGCTGCGAGTTTGAGACCCCTGGCTTAGGGAAAGGCCTCCCCACTGCACCATTTCTGAAACTGCAGCCTGAGCTATGCAAAAATGAGCAGCAAGCCCCATGCATTCAGGCTGGGCCACGGCTCTGTTCCTGTCTTTTGCTTAGGCTTGGATCGGTCATCAGGGAGGCTGGGGCAGTGCGGGTGGGGGGGGGGACTCTACCAGGGCAGCTGGACACAGCAGACTGGGCATTTCCAAGTGGCTAATTGAGCCTGGCCACAAAAAGCTGCCCCTTACCTTGTCCTGTCATGTGGAACTGCTTTTTTTTTTTGCCCCAGCGATTCCCCCCTGCACTCAAAAAATGCGCCTCGCTGGGAGCTCCCTGGCAATGATTGCCGGAATGCAGCATGCCTCCACATTACACGAAGGACACCTCTCCCTTCCAAGAGGGCCGCACGCGCTCACCCTGGCCGGTTCCCCTGGACGCCCTTCATCTGACCGCCTCAATCTAACACAGGCCTAAGCAACGACCTCATAAGGAGGGCGGTATTCCTGCAGCAATCCCATCAACAGCACACATTTAAACTCCCTGACAATCTCTGCTTTCCCATTAAAAAAGGAACGAGCACATTCCCAGCACTTAAAAGTCAGGCTTGAAAGAGAGTGAGCAACAGTCGACGTACCAGAAGCCATTGAAGCGGCTGGATAACATTTCCAGTGGGCAGGCACTTTCAGTTCCCTGTCAAGTTTCTTACGCCCATTCCAAAATAAATTCTGCACAATTTAAATTAAAGGTTGGCAGAATTTGGATTGCCAGGGCATGTTTATCAGGACAAAGCCAGCTTACTTATAAGGGTTATCATATTAGTTAAAGGAACACCCTTCAAGGGGAAAAACTGCCGACAGCTGACTTCAGAGTTTTGCTCCTCTCCTTAAATTAATTCCAGCCACTGCAGAGCCTCTCGGGGAGTTCCTGGCCTGAAAGATGCCGAGGAGAAGTCAGGCACTACCCAGACGGGATCCACACCCAGCTGGGAAGTCCCACTGGCAAGCAGTATTATGAGGTTTTCTTGCACGGGACCCGACACAGCTTACACGATCCTTGTCTTCTTCATGTTATGCTCACAAGAACCCTGCCAAGTTGGATGGACCGGCCCAAAGTCATTCAGCGGGCTTCATGGCTGAGCAGAGACTTGAGTCTGGGTCTCCCAAGTCCCAGTCCAGCTCTCCAACAGTTACACAATGCACGCTGGGGTAAATAACCCTAACTTTACATGCACACTGACGTGTTCCGAGCCAGCGGTGAATGAAAGCAAGCCTGGAGTTGCAGTGGACAGGTTGATGGAAATGCTGACTCAGCGCAGTTGTGAAAAAGGCAAACTCCATGGCAGGGATCTTGCCATGGAAAGATCTCGGGGGTCAAGGCGGCTCCTGATGGCCAATAGCCATGATGGCTAGATTTACCCTCCAAGCTCTCAGAGTCAGTGGACTTGTGAGTACCAGACGCTGGAAAACAACAGCAGCAGAATTCTCATTCTCTGCTCATGGGCTTCCCAGAAGCCGGCTGCTGTGGGGAACAAAATGCTGGACCTTAGTAGGCCTTGTTCTGATCTTGTGGGACACTTTTTAGGGGAGGAAAAAAGTGGCTCCATGAAGCCTCAGGCCTTCTCCCTGGGAAACCTCAAAGGAGGAAGCGCACCATCACAAAGACATCTTGCTGGGGACAGTGAAGCATACCAGAGATTGCTTTGAAATAGATATGCCAGTATTTGGCTAATTATGGCAAGCTGTTCAGAGTCAAGGAGTCTGAGGCCGGGAATGCTGGGAGTTGCATTTAAGCACCAATTCCTTAAATGATAGTAAGAGAAAGCTGGGCTGTACACTCTTTGAATTAGGGCAGAGTAGACATTCAAGTAAGCAGAGTTTTAAGAGTAGCACATTGACTTGAGCTGACCTTCTTCCTTGTCATGAAAGTGAGGAATAAGGGAACAAGTTTTTAAAAGTATTCACGAAGGTCAATATTGTGTGTGGTTCTTTTCATCCCTGGAGGTTCCCCCAATTGACTTTGAAAACATTGCTTTAATACAAGGATTCTAAGTTTCCTTTTTTTTTCTTCTTCTCACTGTAGACAAGGTCTGCAAGAAGAACCAACCTTTGACATTGTCTGCTGTAACACTTTGGTTTGAAAACAATTTCAGAATAAAAACGTTAATATTATTTTAAGGCAGGATTACAGGAGTTACATGCAGTGCTGAAACCTGCTGAAAGGAGGGCTGGAGAGATGCAAGGAAAGGAAAGGCTAATTATATCTTTGCCACAGCCCACTCAAAAGCCTGGCAAAAGCATTGAATCAAGGGAGAACTGAATCACCATGGTGTGCATTCAGTTTCCAGGGAAGGCAGAAGAATCACAGGATTTTAAATTAAAAGAATTTAAAATAAAGAAGAGACGTGGAGACACTTGCACCCACCTGCCCCCTTGTCACTCTCAACATGGCACACTGTTTTAATGGACAAGCACTTGTGCCATATGATATATGTGATATATACCAATACACCTGCATCCTACCACCCAGCCCAACCAAAGCCAGGTACAACAACCCATCTGGGAGGTACAAGGGGGCTTTTGTGTTCACAGTGGCACAGAGACCCCTGCCCTGGTCCTTTTATAAAGGACGATACTCAGCACCCCCAAGACTTCACTTGTACAAGGAGACACCAGTGGCACCGGAGGATAACTGGCAGGCACCCTCTGGCAACGCTTCCCCCCGACCTGGGAGCTTGCCCCAGTCCCCAGTGTTCAGCGTAATGCTGAAATGACCTTGTCAGCGGCACTTGGCAGAGACGGCCCTGAGCTCTTACGTCACGTGTTCCAAGGCAAAGCCTTGGCACTGGCAGCAGAAACTGGAGCCGTGGCCCAAACAAAGAATGACGGAAGGCCTCCCACTTTACTCCAGCCAACCACCGACGAGCCCGGAGCCATCAGTTTGCCGCGGCCTGTTGCTGTGCCCTCGTCCCAGAGCACACCATTCTCCCACAGGAATGTCAAATAGCATGACTCACCTGGAAGATCTGCAGCAGGGTTTTCATGTACAGTTGGCGGATGCCGAAGGAAACACCAAAGATGGCTGGCACAATGATGAAAACCAAGAGAAGGGTGAAGAGGACGGTCAGGGAAATACCCAGCAGGTTAACCACCAGGCTGTCAAAGGGCAGCAGCAAAAACATGATGGGGGGGGGGGGGGAGCAGGCGAGGCCAGTGCCCTGAGAGTCCTGAGGAAGGCAGAAAGCGGTTTCCGGGGCGATCAATCAGTTCTCCTGTCAACCAGCAGTAACCTTGCATGTGCCGCAGGTCCCTGGCCTATTGCAGTCGCCATTTCAAAGTTCACATCCTTCCTCCAGTGGGCCTGGGTTTGCAAAGAACCCACATGATCCAGGCTGGAAAGAGGTTGCAGCACAAGCAGAAACTGTGAAGACTGACCAGGTATGTGATGGATGCACAAGCAGCTGCTGAAGGAGTTGTAGGAAAGGCAAGGAGAGATATACCTGGGAGTGGCTCCTAGGAAGTGGGGAGGGGGAGGGGGAGACCCCTTTGAGTTCTTGGGGGCACAAAACGTCTCTTTGCAAGGCTGAGGTGGGCTCCTTCTCTTGCCCGGCATTGGAGGAAATGCCGTGGCCTACAGAGCTAGACTCCTTGCCCCCAGAATGCAAGGACCAGCTCTGAGTCTTGCGCGCAGGCTGCAGCAAGGCTCATTCCAAGGACGCTGGGCTTCAGTCTGCAGCAGAACATTACAAGGAGGACGCTTCCTCTTCCTTTGCAAGATGCCCGCCAAACTGAATTGATCACAGGGCCTAAAACTAGAAGAGAGAACGAGTGAGGCATACCAGTGAAACATGAAAACCAGGTGTGTTAGGGTGGGAAGCACATAGGACCTTTGAGTAGGAAGAAGTAGCTCCCTGGCTCCAAGACAGCAAGAAGAAATCTTGGGAGAGATGTGCTCGCCCTGAGAGGAAGGCTAATTTCTGTTAATGAAGAATAATAGTCCTCTCCTAAATCTTGTCCTGAGCTTGTCTGCTCATGCTGTGCTAATCATCTGCGGTCTGAAAAGTGTGTTGGCGTGGGGAGAATCAACCTTTTGGAAAGCTGCTGTGCTTTGATGGCTGGAAGAGACTGTGACTTGCCCGCAGCAACCAAGCGGGAGGCCGTCGACAAGCCTGGCTATCCGCACCCCATTATTTCAAAAAATGTAACCAGTAGTTGGCAATGAAGGGCTTTCCATTACAATTGTGACCTGCAACAGAAACATTTCTGCTACTGTATCTTCCGGGGGCAAATTTCCATTTCAAAAATGCATTGTTTCATACAATTAAGTGAGTACCCTGATGAACAGAGAAAACGTTTGTTTGTAACTCTGTTGTGCTTTCCCAAACACAGAAGCCTAGGTGGCTAAGTGTGAGGACTTTAACACAAAACAACCCTCAATAAAAGCAATACTACACAGGAGGTGTGATAGTCAGTCCTGATTGTGGCACTGCTGATGCCTCAAAGCACCACTGACCTGGCGAAACGGGTACAAAGGGCGAAAGCACATCACGAAGTATCCAAGCCAGGGCCGGAAAAGCCCCGATGTCGCTGTGCCCAAACGCTGCCCCCTCCATGAGTGCGCCCGCACTGGGGCCCTGGGAACCCCACCTCAGCTGCTGGTCAAAGTATATGAGGGACCATTCCGAAGAATGTGCTCCTTAAGGTCATTTAAGACTTCAAAGGTGAGTGATTTGACCAGGTGCCCCATCACCACGTGGGTATTTCAAAGGTTCCAATTAACTTTTCCCAGGGTACAAACCCTCAGACGCATGCAGGTTGGTAGGAAAACAGGTTATCTCTCTCTCTCTCTCTCTCTCTCTCTCTCTCTCTCTCTCTCTCTCTCTCACACACACACACACACACACACACACACACACACACACACACAGAGTCAATTTGCAAAAGGGAGGGAGAAGAAGCAAGGAGGGAAGGCAAATTAACACCAGAAGTGCACGTAATCTAAGCAAGCGTAACCAAATCCCCATCCAAACAGAGCATCAGACAATAATGAAGGCAAAATGTTCCAAAACGTCCACACTGGTGATAGTAATGCAAAAGAACAAATACGCTTTTAAAAAGCCACCATCCTGAGCCTGCGGAGGAAGATGAGAGACCTGTGGGGGCCACCAGACGATACTGTACCTCCTGCCTGACTAGGGCACCCAAGAAGGCTGCATCAAGACCTCCTTAGAAGAGAGCAAATGTATATTTAAATATGAATTTAAACGCACATCTGCCCTTCCACCTCTGCTCTGAGTGCAGCCTAGCTTAGACATGTGGCTCAGATGAGACACCCCTCTCTTCCTTCATGTTAGATCTGAACCCCTGCCCACCCCTCTAACCCAGGGGTCCTCAAACTTTTTCACCAGGGGGCCAGTTGAAAGGTGCCAGTGCTGGGTGGGGGCTGGAAAGGTGGTGCTGGCGCTCCGGCAAGGGGGCGGAGGTGGCATGTGTGGGCACGTGCGCTGAGGCAGGGTGCACGGCAAGGAGCGTGGGGAGGCGAGGGGAGGAGGGAGTGGGCACACGCTGCGAGTCCGGCGCACGAGGCAGCGGCTTGCTCTCTTGGAGAACGTTTTCTCCGAGCGAGCAAACCGCTGCCTCCTGCGAGGTGGGCGGTGAATCCAAATGGGCATGGCGGGTCAAATCCAGCCCCTGGGCCGTACTTTGAAGACCCATGCTCTAACCTATCTAGTTATCTTATCCTGATAGTGCAAAAGATACACAAGTGGAAAGCTGCTGGCAATTTTTACCAGTGCGTAGTTATTTACAAATCCAGCTTATGTCCAGAAAGCAAATTGTTTTCTCAGAATCAGAGGGGATTTCATTGGTTGATCTACATTTTACTCACGGTGAACGGAAGTTCAGCAGAAGTCACAAAGGAATGGAGCAAAGGGCTGGGACCACATTCCATGAAGATTTCTGTTGAAGACTAGCCATGCGCAGGTGAAAAGCAGGAGCAAAAGGTTCTAGCGACACACTCACCCCGGCAGCACTCGAAAAGCTCTCAAGTGCAATGGCATTCGCCTTGTGGTGCCCCTAGAATGAGGCCAGGGTCAGGTGTACATAACCCAGCTGGGATGTGTAATCACTGCAAAATGTTCTGAAAGATTCCAGAGTTCACGCTTGGGATGACAAATCAGATTTCCCCATGTGGGAAGCAACATATCACAGTCATGAGAAGCCACTGCCTAATGATGCTAATGAACTGGCAGCAAAAGAAAACAGTGGCCTTTCGGCGCAAACTGGATGTTAGACCAGAAATGTGCAGATAATATAAGCAAGCAGAACAGCCCAGATCGTTGCAAGAATACTCTTTGCAAGATTCTGCGGCTGGAATATGTTCCTCTTAAGACAGCTGAGCACTATGTTCCTAAAGCCAGGCTCTTGCCCACTTCAACCATAATTTGGGTTTTCTGTTTGCACAACTATGAGTCCTTCTGAGCTTGCAGTTGCAGACTTCCATAGCAAAGCATTATATAAAGTGGAACAGGGTAAATCTTCCAGTGATTTGCAGAAAGCCAGCAAGGATTTCTGCCAAATATTTACCCCCCACCCACCCACATACATTATATGCTCAGATAAAGAAAGCTGTGGTGAGTTGACCTATGCTTGTGTGTGGAAGGTCTGTGAACTCAGTTCCAAGCTGGTACATTCAACAAATTTCTAGGCTCAGGATCCTTTAATTCTAAGTGGGTGTCTTATTGACGCTTTGGCTTTGGTCAGGGAATCTTAGGTCCGAGTACAAGCAAAGCAGATACGGCTACAGATTCGGGTGCTTGCTCCTGCTATTGAGATCACTGTTAGTATTTCACATCACCCTTGAGATCATCTTCCTTCCAGGATGCATTGCTCAAGACTCATTAAAGTAATGGCATTTCTTCTAAGTTATGCACAATTACCAGTGCTGTATTATAGGAGTGCAGCTGATAAGATACCACCCACATAATTTTTCTCATCATACTCATCAAGGGAATCAAGCTTCTTAAGTGACAAGTTTATTGCCCGACAGCGAAGACATCAAGTGATCATATTAACTGGTTTCAATAAGAGCAAGTTAGCACTGATGTTTTATCAATATATCCATTGGCAAAAGGTTCGGAACAGACAAACGGAAGCACTTTGTCATACTACAAATAATGGTACAACATTACGTGGTCAAAGACACTGTCCTTACGAGGCAATTAGGAACATTCTTGGAGGAGGACAGGTCTATCAATGACTGTCAGCTGTGACAGCTAAATCCACACAGCATCAGACCTGGAGATGCAGAGCAAGGAGAAATCCATCATATCCCCACCCTGCTCATGGGCCTCCAAAACATGCTACATAAGTAGAAGCAGGTGAGCGGAAGGGAATCAGCTTGCAGGCACACACAGCAGCACCACACAGTCTGTTTCCCTAAACTGGGCCAGAGTTTCCACAGGGAAAGGCATGGGTAGAGGAACTAACAAGAGGTAACCTAGAAAAGGTTGTGGCGGCCTTGGGGATGCTTTGCATTGCATTCTCTTGGACCTTTCAGGCTTCACGCTGAGGTACACAGGAAATGCGACAAGCGAGATCTATCCATATAGAGACAAATTAAGACATGGAACGGAGCAAACCTTTTTGAGCATGCGATCTTACTCGTATCTCATTACAGGAAGATTGCTGCAACACATTTACTGCACTGTAGCATACAAAGTTTGGGCTATTTTAAGAATAGTCTATTTCTAAGATACAGAGGACGCTAAGTCTCATATTCAAAGTATCCTGTTCCCACCACATTTTAGGAGAGAAATTATTTCTATCTGGTTTATTTTTTGGGGGTGGGGTGGATTTGTAATACCAGGTGGGGGAAGAGCCCTGCCTTTCATCCACACTCTAGAATCGTAGGTACTGACTGCTGACTTACTGGACAAATTTATAGACTGGGCTGAAACAGCTTGCTGCTGGGATTCACAGCAACTGAAGAATGGCTGCGGGGATACAGCTAGGCATTCATCAGGCAGAGGGGGCATGATACAGTCCCTGGATTGCAAAACACTTTCTGCAGCTTTCCCATACCTGTCTTGTTTGCATGTGTCAATTTTGCGCCTGATGGACAAAAGCAGCAGCAGTCTGTTTAGGTCGAGTCAATTAGGTAAACTAAATTTATTGTGTGAATCAAGAGTTTTTCAAACGGTGTTTCAAGGAACACATTAATCTTCTTTCTGGGAAGAAAGCTTGTCCTCTTCTACTGAACTTCCCCTGCAATCTGCAGCTCTAGTTCAGGTGAGCAGTTGTGGGGCTGAGAACACTCCTGCATGAACATTCCACAAAAATAATGATATGATATTGATTTAATTCATGAGAAAGTCATTGACTTAAAGTTTCAAGGGGAAAGTTGATTTTTCATATATTTCCTACACAGTGGGGCAAAACTGACTGCTCAGAGAACAATACTGGGGTTCCTGAAATAGGTCAGTGCCCAAGTTGTAGTCTTGGAACAACCTTCTGAAGGTGAAGCAGGGACTTCATCAGCTGAAGGTCTGCCAGTGCAGTTCTTTTGGTGCTGGCTTGGCTCGGCTCCAAAGATGGAAGACCGAAGTGGAGGAGTGAGGCACCATTGTCTTTTGAGAAATCCTGGCAGTGCTTTGGTCTCTCTTCTGTGTGTGTGTGTGTGTGTGTGTGTGTGTGTGTGTGTGTGAGAGAGAGAGAGAGAGAGAGAGAGAGAGAGAGAGAGAGAGAGAATTCAGATGGCCAAAATCAGTCATGTAAATGTTTTGCAGGCAAGGAGAGTACACTCTTCACTTCATGCCCATAACCCTAATCCTCTAAGTTCAGGTTACAAGCAGCCAGACCCCAGTGCGTGCAAGTGAAATAGAGCCACTAATACATTCGACCAGGCTAAGTGAAAGTTTAGCATGTTTGCAACAAGATTGAATTGTAGCTATATTGTTCTTAAATGAGAGCATCAGTATTTTATACACAATTCTTTAAACTATGATTTAATCTTTTAAAAAACACTTAAATACTTGATTTTTATATACCATAGTCCCCCATGACAGACATATAATGGTTCTTTAGCAGGCAAATTAATGTGACAATGGGAGTCCTTGAAGTAAAAAACTGGAAACTACTGGTTAAAAATGGCTGCTGGGCGGCCTAAAGCAGGGTCCCGTTAACTCCAGCCAGGAGAGCCCTGCTGGACCAGCCAAAGGCTGATCTGTTCAAGACACTCGGCGCTCATCCGTCTTGGGGAAAGTGAGCACAACACACTGGGTCCTGTATGGATCAGCTGGAAATCCTGGCACCTTTGAGAAGATGTTTAAAAGGATTTTTTTGTGTGCTCTTAAGCAGAACACCATTTGGACTTTGCAATGTACTGGAACTGCCAGTTCTTCAAACAAGGACTTGCTCTGGTCAGAGTTTAGGTCAGTGCGGTAGTTGAACATTAACTGCCAGTGAACATCAAGACAAGAAAATAGCAGGTGCAGATACAACTAAGCTAGATTTGAGGAAGTCTAGAGGTGGGAACAGTCCCAAAATTTCTCACTGAGAAGTCAATCCCGCTGGACTAAATGAGACTTACTGCTGAATGAACAGCTACATGACTGCATTGGGCTACAGCAGCTGCTCAATATGGGTAATTTTTAGAAGGGAATGTTTTGCTATTTCTGTTCAGAGCTAATAAGTTAGATAACCTTAGTATACTAATCTTGAAGATTTACGGACAAAGGATCACAATCATATGCCAATTCTGAAGTAGGGAAAGAGAAAGCTTCCCAAAGTCACCATCCTGGTTTCCAAAAGCGAAGTCTGAATTTGATTGTGCTTGCCCCCACAAATTCCTAGGTTAAGCAGTCTGATTTCTCTGTGATGTGCAAAATAGGTACTTGCCTAACTCAAGCATTATAATCTCATACTACTTCTCGGTATTATATATACAGTGCCTAACACCACAGATGCAAAGCATGAAATCCCTACATAAATAAGTTTTCCTGAAGGGGCAGAGATGGGCCATGGCCACAGAACGTTCAACCAAAGTAGCTGATAGTAAACTACAGGGGCCCAACTTGGCCCAGTGACTAGCATTTACTAGGCTAATTAGTTAGACAGTGATAGTAGCAGAAGGCTAGAGTTGGGGAGTAAGTGACAGAGGAAAAAGGAAAGACACACCTTTTAGGGTACAATATTTATAAAACTTTAAACTTGCGGGATTACAGGCCTCCTCCACAAGGCAAGAGGAGTGCAGAACTGAAGGTTGTCTCTGCATTCCTCCCATCCTACGAAGGAGTTAGATGGCTGATTTCAGTTGTTCTGTGTGTGGCGCTCTGGAGTGGGAGGGAAGGAGACTGAGGCACTGCCAAGTTAAGCTGTAACTTGGCAGCACCAATCTCCTCCCCTCCCTGCCCTCCAGAATGGCCCCTTTCCCCTTTTTCCAAGGACACTCTTATGACATCAGAGAAGCAGCCAATGTGGTTCTTTCTATACCACCTAGGAGAGAAATAATTATCTGAGCAATTTTCCAAAGCGGTAGCTAGGAATCCAAATTCTACGATCTAGATGCCATCTAGCAGCCACAGAATTGCTGTGTTAAATGGTAAAAAATTAAAAGTAGTACTTATATTACAGGTTGAGGCAAAAGTCCAATATTTGAAAAGAGTGAAGATTACAGATCTTAGACACAATGGAAATATGTATGTTCAAATAAAGCACTTGCAATAAATTATTTCTTTTATGACATTAACATGACATTCTCTTTCAAGTGGGCAGATGTTAGGTTAAGAATAGTACGGTATATGTGCAAATGTAACAAACATCCAACCACACAAGAGAAAAGAAACTATGACAGGAAGATTTCTGCTTGCAGTGCATCATATAATTTTTAACTTGCCTGCATATCTTTCTTCAATGTGTGTCTGGCATCTCGTGTAACAGATTTCATAGATGAGCACATACATGTATTAACCCTGGCACCTGGTTTAACAGCTGTCCTGAAGGAAACAAGCATTCTTGCACCCTGTGTTTAGATGATGCATACATAGATCACAAGAGATACCTTAGAAGAGGTATTATCTTTGGAATAAAAAGGATATAAACACCCCTCCTGGATTCTACCTACAAATTTGGCCAGTGCTTGTGTTAAAAAGAGCACTGTAATTTTAAATATACACTTTCAGAGTACTTGGAGGCATCTTTTAATAGAGAAAAATATTTCAAAATCAATTAATCTAGTCCTTTAACCACAGGCGCAATCCTTTAAAAGTTTAGACAGAAAAAAACCTGTAACTCCCAGAATGCTGGCTGGGCATGCAGTGAGTTGTAGACAGTTTTTCTGTCTAACTTTGCATAGGATTGTATTCTAAATGGCCTGGCCATTTGTTACATCCATCCATATTTTTATATAGCTATATATACCTGCAGAGTTCCGCTGAAGATAAGCAAACCTGCAGCCTCAGAGTAAGCCCACTGAACTCAGCGAGGTTTCCTTAAAACCTCACAGTGAATAGCAAGGCTGCAAACAATACTGGGTTTTTTTGATCGAAATGTTTCTGTATATGATTTGTATACGATTTGTATTTGTATATGTAAATGACTTGTATATGATGCTATATATTGGATTTTAGAACCTTGAGGTTACATAGCTGAGCTTTTAAAATTCTGCAAACTGGGCAGATGCACCTTTGGCTAAGCAGCTGAACATGACGAGTAAGTGCATGCACATTTAACTGATTAACGATGCTCCAGAAATGAATGATAATTACACAACGCCTGGTTATTAATTAATTCCTGCTTCTTCAGAGCAGCACAATATTCTTAGGCAAGGGCAGCACAATTAACATCAATAACGCCTGTCACCTGCCGACAGCCCCGCGAAGACGTGCTGCCTCCGAGGCCCACGACTAGTCTCGTCCAGGCGGGTGAGGGCGGGAGGGGGCCAGCCACGCCAGGCCCAACCGGGGGCCTCCTAACGCTCCCCAGGGCCGCGGCCCCCCACGGCCTCCACGAAGAAAGGGGAGCGGAAGGGGCGGGACACTCACCGGTCGCCTCGGCCGCTGTCCTCGCCGCGTCTCCCGGCCTCTCCGCCTCCCGCGTCCGGCTGAAGAGAACCAGTAGGAAGCGCCACAGTCGCTTAAGAAGCGGCCGCTTCTGCGCATGTGCAAGATACCACGTCCCAACCACGTTAGCGTCACCGCGTCCGGAATGACGTTTGGCGCACGGCGCCCGCATGCGCCCACGCAACTAGTCAACGGTACTCCACCCACAGACGCTTCCGCTTCGCTCCCTCGAGCCCCGCCTTCCTACGCTCTTTCTCTCAACAGCCAATTGGCGGCCGTTTTCCGAAGCACAGCGATTGGCCAATAAGAATGGGGCTACGCAAGGAGCCAGCCGGAGCGCGTGCGCAGTGCGTCTCCTTCTCTCCAACCAGTTCCAACAGAGGGATACGACGTTCCTTCGCCACATTTTTTTCCCTCATTGTAACGGGGGAGGGAGGGGAAGATGGAAAAAAACTGGTCTGCGCCTGCGCTGCGCAGCAAACGTGTCTTGCAAGTCTTGCCCTTCTCTGGAATGTGACACCTGCCTGGTATTGGAGGGAGGGGAAGGCGCTCTGCACCGGAGCTCATCCCGGACAGGTTGGCGGCGGGTATCTGTTCAGAGGAACCACCTCGTCGCAGGACAAGAGGAGCGAAAGCCTTGCCATACTATGGCTGACGAAAGCCGGGAGCTTGTTTAGGCTTAAGGGGGGGGGGTCTAAGACCATGTTGCAAGTCTTGCTCCCCAGGTACACCTTAGACGGGCTAAGGCAGCCTTCCCCAACCCGATGGCCTTCAGGGGCAGTTGGACCACAACTCCCAAAATCCCCATCCAGCAAGGCCAGTGCCTGGGAATTCTGGGTGTTGCAGTCCAAACGCTCTGGAAGGCACAAGATTAGGGAAGGCTGGGGTGAGGCATGGCTGTCCTGGAAGTCTTAATCACATGGGGCCTATTGCTTTACTCGCATGTGCCTCTAGCAAACCGCCTCCCTCCCCTAAACTGTAGGTAACTGAGAGGTTATAAAAGCATTTTGTGCAGAGCCCATCTTGGGTGTCCCTCTGGGGGCTGCCTGTGTGCCCCATGTAATTCCTGCATGTCTGAATAAGCTACATGTTCTTTGGATTGTACACCCCAGTGATTTTTCTTGGCATTACCAACAGCATCTCAGTTAAGCCTCATTACTGCAGCCAAGCATCAGGTTAGCACATCCAGAGCCTCTCCTAAATTTGATGGAATTGGTACTCTTTATCTGTCTATCCCAGCTATTGCTGTTAGGTGCCATCAAAGCACCTCTGACTTAGGGCAAGCCCATGAGTGGAAGCCCTCCAAAAGCTCCTGTCCTTGGCAGCCCTGCTCTGCTCTTCTAAGTTCAAGGTTACCTTTATTGAGTCCATACATCTCTTATTTGGTCTTTTCTTCTCCCTTGACTTTCCCTGGCATGATTGTCTTCTCCAGGGAGCCTTGCCTTCTCGTGATGCGCCCAAAGTTTTACAGCCTCAGTTTGGTCATTTTTGCTTCTAGGGAAAGCTCTGGCTTGATTTGATCAAGGGCCCCCTTATTCATCTTTCTGTCTGTCCAGGGTATTTGCAAACCTCTTCCTCAGCAACATGTTTTGAATGCATCAATTTTTATTCCTGTCATTCCAGCTATAGCCAGAATGTTTAGAAATCATCTCTGGTTGGTGGGATAGAAGCAAGCCATCACCACAATGCTGTGGTGTTTTGTTTTATCTTACTCATTTTATTGTAAGCCATCCTGAGATGCTAGTGGCGGATGGGGTAGAAAAGCTTTTAATAAATAATAAATAAGATTAAAGCATGTCAAATTCTCCAGTCAGCCCCGTAAGGGCTCATAGCAGGCTTCCCCAACTTGTGGCCTCCAATATGTCACATATAAAGTTAACTACATGCAGCAAACCAGCCCATTAGCGAGTTGGCTGTATTAAACATCATTTTCTCTGATGCATCGCTTGCAGGTAGTTTTTAATTCTTGCATATTTACAGGATGGGGCTTCAAAGAAGTCAGGCAGACAGGACAGACAGGCCCATGAAGCCTGAAGTGATAGTCCATAATCCGGCTGCCTCAGTCTCCCAATTCTGTACAAGGGGTACATCTGGATCTCTGATGTACCCCTGGAGTGCAAGCAACTACTTACTTCCAGGGTATGAAACATCACTGTATTACAGAGCCTAAAGCAGAGGCTTTAGGTAGCTGCTCTTACTGCATGAACTTAATCTGTCTTGGGAGGCACCATTAGCGCCTTTAAAAGAACTGCTGCACCGGTGAAATCACACATTGCACCTGATGCCAAAGAGGCTTTCCTCCTCAGTGTCCTCTCTTGGCTTAAGAAACTCAGTTGTCATTCCTAGTTTGCTGACTCCCCACTAGCAGAGGTCAGAGGGACTTAACAGGATTTGCGTTCCATGACGCAGGCACAGGATATCCTGGTTTCTTTGACCAGATTAGTGGCTGGTTAGAGGTAGAGGAGCTAAGCAGGGCTTGCTGAGCCAGGACAGAGACTCTGCTGGTCGTGAAAAGCCGGTGGGGTGCGGTTGTGCCATTTAAAACACTGCTTCAGAAGCAAGATTTCATGCTTTCCGCTGCACATAGTCTTCTGCTTGTTCATACACAAAAGCAGTTGCATTTCTTTGGTCTTCGGGACCGATGTCGGCCAGGCTCTGGAAAGAGTCTTCCATAACCCACTAGATTCCACGATGGCCTCTTGGAGCCTTGGCTGAATAGTCCCTGATCGGCCCAGTTCTCACCCTTTGCCTTCTTATATATGATCCCAGAAATCCTTGCTGTGGGGGATAGCTCAGCATTACCACCACGGTTTTGCAGGTGGGATAGCAGGGCTGTGCCGGAGCATGCACTTTATCGGGATTTTAACCGGGGACGCCCAGCTTGAGCCCTCGGGTACGGTCCTGCGCCACAGACCCACTTTGCAGGCCTGGGGGCATCTTGTCCTCACCCCAGGCTGAGGCTACAAGTTCCCCTTTACTCAGCACTGGTCAGGCCTCACTGGGAGTCCTGTGTCCAGTTCTGGGCTCCACCGTTTAAGAGAGATGTGGACAAGCTGGGAAGGGCCCAGGGGAGGGCAACAAGGACGATCCGGGACTGGAAACAAAGCCCTGCTGGGAGAGATGGGAAGAACTGGGCATGCTGAGCCTCAAGAAGAGAAGACCCAGGGGAGAGAGGATAGCCCTCTTGAAGGGATGTCACAAAGAGGAAGGCCAGGATCGCTTTGTGATCATCCCTGGGTGCAGAACACAGAATAACAGGCTCAAGGGACAGAAATACCAGGAAAAATGTCATGACTGTTTGAGCAGTACAGCAGTGGAACCCAAGACCTCAGGGGGCAGTGGGCTCTCGCACACTGAAGGCACGCAGGACGCAGCTGGGCAGCCACCTGAGCAGCATGCTTGAACCTGGCACCCTGCACTGAGCAAAGGATGGGACCTGATGGCCCTCGGGCCTCTTCCAGCCCCTCTGTTTGTGATTCTCTGACTCCCCTGAGGCCTGCCCTAATGGAACGACAAGGCAGCAAGGTTGCACAGACCGGTTTTGCTAATAGGACTGCCATCCCGCACCCCATCTGCACAGCCTTGCTCAGAGAAGGCTATCCATGGCTACCTGGTACCTATATATTCCTTTCAGTGTCAGCAGCAGTATGCCCGTGTCTGCTAGTTGCTGGGGAGCATGGGCAGGAGATCCTGTTGCATTCAGTCCACCTTGTGGGACCCTGTGAACAGAAGGGTGGAGTAGATGAACCCTGCATCCATTCCATCAGAGCAATCCTGAAGTTTTTAACAAGACCTTTCTGAGCTTACAAAAAAGGCAGGAGGGGGGAGGGGGGCATGATTCAGTCTTATTAAATCATGCAGTGTGCAGAGAAAATGGCTAGGAAGATGACACTCCCCTCAGAGAGGCTTACCTGGTGCCTTACCTGGTTGTCACAGCAACACCCACTAACACCTTTTTAAACAGCATGGATATTTAAGTATGTACTGTATGGATGCTTTGATAATGGCAAGCGTGTTCCACATAAGTTTGTTGACTTTTTGCTGCAGCAGTGTTTTACAGCCTGTCTCAAATGTTAATTTAACTCTCATTTTTTTTATTGGGTCTATTACTATTGGATATTACTTTATATATTTACTGTTTTTTTATTTTATTGCTTGCCTCTGAGTTTTATTGGAGCGTGCAGCTTAGAAAAAATCTAAATAAAACAACAAGAACAGCCATGGGCAATAACCTGCTGTAACATCCTTTTCCGGGTTGCTTCCCACATACCATGTGGACCCCTGAACTATGCAGGAGTGACAGGCACATGTGAACGAGCCACAACAAAGCAACGATTGAAGATAGCTGTTTTATATAATGTCATCTACAGTGCAGTGGTTTCCGCAGAGCTGGTTCATCTATTCGTCCACCAGTCATTTGAGGGTCAAGTGATGTGCCCAGGTGGGTGCCCGGCCCTTTGGCCTCGGGCGGTCGAGGGCGGCGTTTGACCATCCCGGGCTTGCATCAAGGCGACGGAGCAGCACAGCGCAGAGTCGCTGCCTTGTGACTGAGGCCTGGACTCACGGGGGGTGGGTTTTTCTCCCTTTTGCCCCCCTTTTTTAGTTACACACATGCTCCAGTCCTCAGAGCTGCACCCCAATGCCCCAAGAATCCAGTACTGCCAACCACTGCCCCGATCCACGTTGGCACATTGTTCTTACAGCTTTCCTGCCTCCGTGGAGGCAGTGCTCTGTAAAGGGAACATGCCTGGATCGACCATGCAAGACGAGCCAACCCCCCCCCCCGCCTGGCAGCAATGGCCTGCTGCCGGGAAGCCCATCCGCTCCACGTGTCGCAATGGAGCAAGAAGTCCTGGCACACCAACCCTGCAACCGCTGCTGCTTCGCTCGAACAATTCCCTCCGGGAATATATGGATGTTCCTCCCGTGTGTGGACGGGACAGGAGGGCACTTGCCTTCAGAAAGAGGCGGGGGGGGGCACAGGAGGTGAAGCACAGGGAGCGGGCAGCCGGCTAGTCCAGGGGCCCGAGGCAACAGGGCCGTTGCCCCTTCACCTCGCCAGAGCCCCAGGCTTCCTGGGCCGCCCTCGGCACTGCCCACGTCTCTCTGCACGGCTCCGCCATCGCCACGTGTAGGGGGAGCCCCACGGAGGAGCTCTGGGCTGCCTTCCCCAAGGCTCCCGCAAGGGGCAACAAGGGGGGCCAGCCAGGCCAAAGCCCTCCTGGGGAGGCCCAGGCCACAAGCCGGTTCTGCGGCACCTCCCTGTGGCAGCCGCTAAAGCCCCCCGGCCGTCCTTTCGCAACCCAGTGCGCTCCAGATGGGTTGGGCTACAACACCCATCATTCCCAGCCAGCCTGTGTCCATGTGGAGGTCACTGGACTGGGGAGGCTGTGCCAGCTGCAAGGGAGGGGAAGGAAGGTTTCCAGCCTGGATCAAATGGAATATAAGGAGAATCTATAGGAATGTTTCTATGGCATTCTGCAACCTGACCCTGGGCGTGCGCACCCCAACGCCAGCCCCATGGAGGAGACTGAGATGCTCTTTGCAAGCCGACGGCCGTTCAGGTCGCTTGATATGCATCCCCCTTGCAACAACCCTGCAGAGTAGGCGAGTGATTGAAAGACCAAGAGCAAATCTACGAAAGTAAGACTTTCCATCTAGAGCAGGTGTGACAAAACCTTTTTCTGCCAAGGGTCACATACCCTTGGGAGTGAACTGGTGGGGGCGGAGCTGAAGCCACTAGTGGGAGGAGCCAGACCAAACGTGGGTGGGGCCCTAGCGCTTTTCCTTCCCTCTCTTCCTCTCCCCAACCAGCTCTTGCCACAGGCCTGAACTAGTCGCCTGTGGGGAGCTTTGGAAAGTTCCTGTGAATTGCGGGTTGCCCACCCTGATCTTCAAAGTTTCCGGCTGAGGTGGCACCCAAACCAAGGGCTTCCCAGATCGCAGGGCAGGACTCCTGGCTGCCACGCCATCCCGCTCCTGGCAGCTTGGACGAAAGACGTGCCGGCAAGCGGCTTCCCGTGTGAAGTCCGATTCCTGTCTGCGGTGAAGCAAGAGTCCTGCGACCCCGAGTCAAGACGGCTGCAGGGTGACTTGCTTCTTGCTGCCGCAGTGAATCCTGCTTCCTCCGCGAAGCTCACGACATCCATGCCGGATCAGAATGCGCACTGTCGGCCTCGGGAGTCATTGGCTGAGCCGGAGGGCAATGTGCGGGAGAGCCAAAGCGTTCCTACCAGTACGCTTGGTTGTCTGAACGCCGCCAGGTCTGCAAGCGGGAAAGGACTAGAGCTGCGGCGCGAGAGGTGCCCAAGGGCTCCCTGGCACCGACCGCGCTCTTTGCCAGGCGGGACAGCACACCTGGTGGAGAAGGGCCCATCACAGGCCTCACCTGGTAGTTCTTCCCTTGATTGTTGTCCCAGTAGACGTTTTGGTGGCAGCGAAAGGAAATGCAGAACTGAATGGTTCCGGAAGGAGCTGGGGCTTTGGGGAGGGCCACCTCGAAGGCAAACACATCCGTGTCAGTGTAGCCGTATGTGTTAGGCATGTACTGGCAGCAAATGTCATGGAAGCTCTTCCAAGAGTCAAAGGTGATGCGGATGAACACCTCCTTCTCGAAACCGATGTTCTGGACCTTGATTGTCCCCGAAAGAGACCTTTCCTGGATCAGGCAGTTCTCCAGGGACACAAAGGTGCTTTGCAGGCGGCTGCGGAAGGCGGCGTAGTCAGCCGAAGGCTGGGGGAAATCCAGCATATATTTCCTCGCTTCGGGGCGGGCGCCCCGCAGCTTGTTCCGGAAGCCGGTCAGGTGGGAGAGCGCCTGCTGCAGGTCGCACAGGTCCTCCTCGATCTTGGAGAAGATCCGGACGGCTGTCAGGGAGAAGCCCTTCATGTCGGCAAAGACCACCCTCTTCTTCTTCTTCCCGCGGGGGCCCTTGGCGGCCTCCAGCCTGCCGGGATCCTCGCAGAGCTGGTAGTTCAGACATGGGCGCAGGGGGGGGTGGCCCAGCCCCTCCCGCAGCTCTTCGTAGGAATGGAGCAGCTTGCGGATGGGTGGCGTGTGGCTCAGGCAAAGCCGCGTGGCCAGGTCCCCCGGCGGAGAGGCACGGGGCACGATGGCCCGCGTGCTGAACACCTGAAACAGGCTGGAAAGGTGCGGGGGGGGGGTTAGCAGCTGACTCGGAAGGGCCCCCCCAGGATCAAAGAGCTGAGAGCCTGCAAGCGACTGCACTGCTTTGTGTGACACTTCATTCCTCTGCATTACAAAGATTGATGCACATTTGTGGGGGGGGGCACAGTATCCCCTGCACCGTGTATAATGCCCTGTCTGCCGCACACAAAAGCTCTCCCATGTGCACATCAGCCCGGCAAGCCCAGGAAGGGCTCGAAGCTCCAATTTGTGGATGCTTTTTGCCTTTGCCCCGCTTCCCTGGAATATCCCCTCCCCCCGAGGCTTCCCAGAAGGAAAATGGGCCCTTGGGCTGAGAGAGATATATGTCTGGGAGAACGTTCTGTGTGATGCACCGCCCAAATACGGGCCCTTCTGATTTTATATGTATTCCTTTGCAAGGCAGGGTATATGCCTTGCTCCACCCCGCCTGCTTTTCATTCTCGCGACAACCCTGCGAGGTAGGTTAGGCTGAGAGAGAGAGGGATCAGAACCGGGGGCTCCCCGAGAGGGAGCACAGCTTGGTGCCATAAGACACCCGTGTTATGGCAGATGACGGACACAGAGCAGTTTTGCCTGGGGAACACCACCCGGGCTAGACTACAAGGGTCGATACTTAGCTTCCAGAGACCAGGAGTGGACGCCACCGTACACGCAGTGATATTGTGGTCCCGTGCCGTTCAGGTCCAGCCCCGGCATGAGGAGATGGATGCACTGCTCCAGGCAGCTGAGCGTTTGCACGTGGCATGAAAGCTGTGGGATTCCCACAGCCCTCCTCATTTGGAAGGGCCGCTTTTGCTACCCTAACGGAGGCAGTAAAATGCCTTGGGCCACCCCTGGCCAGGTGTTTTACGCGCCGGCTTCCTTCACCTCCGGGCAATGTTGGGGAATGCTGTTCTCTGGGGCCAGAAGCAGCTGCTGCCTGCAGGTTTGCCGGCAGGTCTTACCTGGTGGCGATGTCAAAGCTCGACCCCGGTGCCTTGCACATGCCATACAGGTGCTGTGCTGCTCAGCCAGGACCCTTCCCCGAAAAATGGTGGGGCTCGGGCCGCAGCATACAGGGAACGGCAGCTTTTTGCAGGGTTGCAGCCCTATCAGAAGAGAAGCTGAACCTGCAGCCGTTCTCCCCCGAACCCTTTCAGCATCACCATGGGACACGATGGGGGGGGGGGGCTAGAACACGTGAATGGCCGCAACACCCGCCCCCAGCAAGCCAGAGCACTCACTCTCCGCAGCTCATCGTCCCAGGTCGTCTGCTCGCGGTGCTCGGAGGAGGAATGACTGCAGCCGGGGAGAGAGAAAGGGCGCCGGGCGGGACAGCCACTCCCCTTCGCCGCCCGGGCCTTGCCCCGCACGGATCTCACTGGCTAATAGCTTCCTGGCTGGATTCCCAAGTTCAGGCTTTCCTCTATTCAGGAGGGAGAGTCTGTCTTGGACGCAGAGTGGAGATTAACTTCTCTCTGAGCCTGTTTCCTGGGGCAGTAGGCAGAGGAGAGATATCCCCTGAGCATGTGCAGAGCATTCTTTTACTGAGCAGCTGAACCCGGGAATTCCAGGTGTGTCCCTGGAGAAGTAATACATGGGGCAGAAAGGCACACAAGGCCCTCTTCAACTGCTCACCCCCATTGCAAGGGAATATTTCAGGGGTGCCCCCTTTTCTGTTCATGCAATCAGGGGAGTCCTGGAACTGAAATAGGAAGGCGACTGGAACAGATTCCCATGCAGGCTGAGACTGGGACAGGTGTGCCGCAGGGTGTCCAAAAAGCCCTCTGCTTTGAACCCTGGTTCCTCCTGCTGTTCAAATGGTAATAACAGTGGCCCACCTTGCAAGGCTGTTGTGGGGGCAGAGGGCTTCGGATGGGCTTAGTGCTTGACGGGACAATAAAGAACTGGAATGTGGCTTCCTTGTGGGGGGGTCAATGTGAAGATGAGACCCCCCCTCCCTTAAGAACATCAGCAGGAGCTGGAATTTATTACCAGCTCTGGAAGGGCAGTTGTAGGGTTTCACTGCCTGAAATTTTGCTTCCACCACAGCCTTCCTCACCCTGGTGCTGTCCTGATGTGCTGGAATACTGTTCCCATGCTGTCTGGGGATGATGGGAGTCGCATAGCAACCTGTCTGGATGGTAGCAGCTTGGAGAAGGCTTACCTCCCTCTTTTCCCTCTTAGCCACAGGAAAAAGGCCCCCAAAGTAAACAGGAACCCCACCAATGGCTCAACTGCCCTCCACTGCACCTGAACAGAGGAGAGAGCTCCCCAGTTGAACTTCTGCCTGGCATACAGAAAAGAGAGGAACCAGTTCTCCTGCTTGCCTTGCCGCCTGAGCCAAGCAGGGCCCCAAAGTGAGAGCTGACAGGGCCCAGCTTTCTGCATGTAGCCTCACAACTGCTGATCCTCGACAGAAGGGGCCCTGATCCAACCGCAAGCAACGAGGGCTTTTAAAAACAGGCTGCTCCTGTACGCCAGCCAGCGACCAGGGCCAAACTGAGTCCCCCACCCCGAATTGCACACCCAGGTTGCAAGCTCTCCCTTCCTCCAAGCTCGGCTACAAGGCGAGCGTGCCGGGTGACGCTTCTCTCCGCATCCCCAGCCCAGAGAACGTGACCCAGTCTCCCCAGGGCAGGTGTCCTCCGGGGTGCTGGACAACTGCTCCTATCAACCCGCCAAGGCAAGTGGGTGATAAGCGGAGCTGTAATCCAACACACCTGGACGGGGAAGGTGGCCCTCAGCTACAGGGCCCACCCCCGAGGACAGCCACGCAGGTGGCCTCAAGCAGCCCTGCCCTCAAGCCCCTCGCTGCCACGGGTATCTGCCCACGGCAGCTCCCCCACAGAGCACCTCCGGCAAGTCCCGGGGCCCCTCCGAGCAGCCACATCCCGGCTCCCCCAGCGGGCCCTGGTGTGCCGGCCAGGGCTGATGCCGGCTGCAAGCCCCCCCCGGCGGCCCCTGGCCTCTTTTAATCGCCCTTTCAGCCACATGGGCTGGGCTAAGAGGATGAAGCGGCTAAGGAGCTCGTCAGCCTGGAAGCTGGTCGGAGGCCTTTAGGAAGGGAAACGAGCCGCGTGTGCGCTCGGGCGAGGTTCCCGGGCAGGCACGGGGATGGCGGGCTCCGGTGGGAACGGCAGCTCAGGCTCGGAGGGGGAGTGGAGTGCTGGCCCAGCCGTGGCGCGGTGGTCTCCCTGATACGGTGGTCTCCCTGCTACGGGAGCTGCTGAGACTTGCGAGGCCCCGGCTGCCCGACCTCTCCCGGCAATCCAGCGCTGGCTCCAAGCCCTTCAAGGACACCCACTGAGCCCCCTCCCACCCGATGGTGGGGAAGAAGCCGGCGGGCAGGGTTTCTCGGGAGAACTTGACACCCCAGGAGATGTCGACACACCTGGTGGCTGGACCAATTAGGGGCTCCATGGGAAGAGTGTCGGGGCATCCACTTCCATAGTGCCCCCCCCCCCAGACCGGCCCTGACTGGTTCATAAGCAAAGCTTTCGGTGAGCGGGGGCAGAGCGAGGGATCAGCTTTCCACCTGGAGTGCGGCTTTCGAGGCTTGCGAATACATTGCTTCTGTATGCTTCTGAGGCATCCGGATCCCTCGCCGTCCTAGCTCAGGGATCCGGAGGCATGTGTTCAGGGATGTGTGCATCCCTGAACACATCCACAGCACCAGCTTCAGAAAGGCTGCAATGGTGGGTGGGGCCCAAGACCACGCTGCCTCATGGGACCCCCAGCAGTGTTGGCAAGGCGCCCCACACCCTCTCCCTTCCATTACTTTTAATCATGGAAAATCAACGCCCTACCTAGCATCAGGAACGGTCTCTCCCCGTGCACTAAAGCAGCCTCCAACTTGATCATGGCAAGCTCCTGGCTTCTTCTGGAGTTTCCAAGTGCAGAACGTGTACAGAACAGAGAGGCTGAGCACAAGGATAAGGCAGGATAGAAATGTGGACTCTTCCCAGAGACCACAGCTTAGTCCGCCCCTTTCTGTCCTGCTCTCCACTGATTCCCTCCCTCCCTCCCAGCCTGAGGAGGAACATTGCTCGCTCCCACAGGACTGACCCAACGACGCACAAGGTCTGGCCAGCGCAACCTTCCCTTCCCTTCCCCTCTGGATGCCCCAGTCCACTCCACAGCGCCCCCCAGCTCACCCAGAGCAGCTCTGGGGACACACTGCAAGCGCAGGGGAGGGCAGATTAGTTCCACCCCCCCCTTCCTCTTCTTCTGGGAAAAAGACCATAGCTGAGTTCAGACCACACCATAAGCCAAGCTCAAGGATTGGTTGTTGGCCATTGTTGCCGGGCCACGGATTGTCCCGTTGTCTGAACTCAGCCGCACTGACCAACCGTGGTTTGTTAACCACAATCCTTCACAACCCAAGAACCAACCTTGGGTTCCCTTCAAGGGTTGTAGCTAGTTAGTGAATCATGGTTTCTTATCTGAGTTAGGTCCAAATTCCATGATAACGTGCATTTCAGCAACTCGATGACAAGCCACCCTGAGCGATGGAAACAAGATGCAAATCTGCCCAGGAAGGCCTCGGCAGTTATAGGCTGCTTGTAAATACATGTATAGACAGACAGATAGATAAAGGCAGGGCGAAGGCAGAGGGGAAGGTGGTGTTCGTGTATGCAGCACTGCTGGAGGGGCAGCATCCTTGACACAAATGACGATGAGAAACACTCGCACAACACAGGGCTGCCCTTTAATTCCTCTCCACGCCGCCACAATCCCTTCCCCCTGCAAGCAGCGGCTGGCGTTTCCTGCAGATCTGAAAGTCTTCCAGGGGCCTCACCCTGGTTGTCCCGATGCTCCAACTTCTGCGGCACTGAAGTTCCTCGGCAAAGGATGATGGGCTTCCATGTCCTGGCACCCTTCAAGCCTTTCTGAACAGACTGAAACCCATGTGAAACCGGGTTAAGGCCTGGTGTGGACAAGGGCAAACCCTTGTCCCCAAAGAGGACAAAAGGGGTTTACAACATTTGTGGAAAAGGTGCAGGGGGGTTCACTGTTGTCAGATATCCTGGATGAATTCTTGTACCCACGGAACACACACACACTGCTGGCTGGGGGAGCCACCCCACAGCCCTGGAGGGGCAGGAAGTCAGCATTACAGGTGTGCAAAGGAATTCCAGTTCCAGCATGTCAGAGCTTGGAGGCCACGCCCAGAAACGGCTCTGTACCATCTCCTGGGCAAGCTGCAGGTGAACGGGCAGGTGGGGCAGGGCCAGGCTCTCCCCTCCTAAAAGCCCTTCTCCGATGCCAGGGCCCCCCTTCAGTTCTGCCAGCCAGGGTAAATGCTGCCACTCTGGCAACCGTGAGGCGGAATCCAGCTGCTGGCACAGCAGGGACGTGGCACTGAACTCCCAAGCTAGACAGGGAGGCCGATTCCCTCCAGGGAGGTAGGAAAGGTCTGGCCATTTGGCATTTGCAAAGAGAAGAAACTGCAGGAAGCTCCACCGCATGGCCTAGATGAGCTGCACTGCCCCTGAAGCTACCAAGGGAGCGATGGTTTTGTACCGCATCAGATGCTGCGAATCCTCCTCCAGGTCGATCGTGTATTCCCTGCAAGAGACGAGGCCGTAAGTGTGTGCTCAGCTCGACCTCGCAGATGCTTACTTGAAAGGAAGCACTGCTGAACTGAAGTGTACATTATGCGTGCCCATTAGAGGATCTTTAACTCAGAGAAGCCTGATGGTCTTTCCTTAAAACCTGGGCTATTTTCATCTCCTCCCCGAAATGGCTTATGCAGGAAAAAACCTAATTAAAAATCAACGGCTAAATGTCAACACCCTAAAAACAGCTTCCCCTAAGTTTCTATTTTAAAATGTGAGTCCTCTTACTGGCTGCTTTATACACGACCAGCCAAGCAGGTTGAGAATTACAGAAGCTGCCGCCGACTCATCTGGAGAACAACGGCTAGTACGAGGCTGCTTTAGAACAGGGGTATTTACTTATTTGGTCTGCATCCTGTCTTTCCACCAAGGAAACAGTGGTCAGGCAGCAAGCAAGAATAGCCACATTTTAAAATGTAAAGAACAGCTCCAGCACCCATCCATCGAGCATGTCAAAACAGTGAGGCTGAAACCCACTCAAAACAAGCTCCATACCCGTGACGGCTGAATGACCAAGATCTTTCATGCCCAAGCATCTCAGAGGGAAAGTGATTTACAGACCAGCTACGAAACAGGCTTACAAGAGGAAGGCATCTTCGAGTGTCACAAGGTGATGGGGAAAGAGGGATGCTCCTCTCGGCTTTGCTACCCTTGTGGTTCAATAATAGCAAAAAAAGAAAGCTCAGCCTTTTCTCAAGAACACAGGGATGCTATTTTGGTACACCCCCCTTATTTTGCTTCTGGAGCAGCGTCATTTGGCAGCCCTGCTTCTGGTCGCCTCAGGGCACGGCTGGATCACCACACAGCCCACCCCTACCTCTGCTCATCTGCTTCCGGCTCCACCAGGATATTCTCTTGCCTCTCCTTCACTCGCAGGAACACGAAGGAGTCCAGGTTCGGTCTGGGAACTGTGAGGAAAGGCAGCATACATGTGGAAAGCTTACGCACCAGCTCCTCTCTTCTTTGCTCTCCCAAGCAGCTGTGATTTGCACCGCCAGAGGGACACAAGGGGAGCTGTGCGAGCACACGCTCCTTCCACACGCACACAACACGCGCTTTCCACCCAAGGAAGGTGTGGGCACCCTTTGTGGTGTTACAGGCCTGTGCCTCCATTTGTCCACCTCCAATTTTGTCTGCCAAACCAGCCTCCGCCCCCACCCCCGCCCCCACCATTCGAGCAACTTGTTCGTTGTATTTCATTTGCTTTAGGCCTGGTGGCTGAGCCTGACTCAGGCTGGGGACCCTGAATATTCATTATCTTCCCTGATAGCCATGCAGCTGCTACAAACAGAGTTAGAGAAAAGTCTGCTTTGGTCCTTGAGCCCTGCGACCTCAGAGGTAGCCCCGCAAACGCGACCCCAGCACAGCGGGGGGGGGGGGGGGACTGTGCCCGCTGCTTCTCCAGGGTCAGAACTCAGCCTGAGGGGACTCAAGGCAGGCTGCGCTTACCAGCCTTTAGGAGATCCACCTTTTGCAGGTTAGGAGGCATGTGCTTCAAAGCCATATTGCTCAGATGGGTCTCTGTGTTCGCCATGTACCTGAAAGGGAGGCACTTGTTAAATTGCCTTTCCATTGTGAGTTTTCATAAGTCAAAGCAAAAGCAAGGCCCATAGCCATTGCAGCATTTTTCCTTCTCCCTCCCCATTCCCTTTCCTTTTGTGTTGTGCTTTTACAGATAAGCCTGCAGGTATCTTTTTAATCTTTGTTATCTTTCCAAGCGGTCCTGGGAGCCAAAAGAAAAGAGATAAAATGTATCAATAAAATAAATGGCTCTGATGGCCAGAAAACACATTCTCTATTAATATTTCTTCAGTTTTGATATCATGGCAAAGTTATGAACAGTCTTATATGGAAGTCTTTGCTTTGTCAAGAACAAATTCTGGCATGTTGTAAACAGCCTGGAAACCTCTAGATATGTCAGACTTTGAGTCCCTCTATTTTCCTAAGCCAGTGGATTTGCTGGGGATCATAGGAATTGTAGTCCAAAATATCTGGAGTGTGTCGGGTTGGAGGGTGGCTCCCCTACATGCTTGGTCGTCCTCCAGGAATTCATGTCCAGCATGTGCAATCCCAAGATCCCCAGACTTTACCTGATGCAGGTATTCTTACATTTCAGACTGAAATCCTCCAAGATAAAAGACAGCTAATCTATCTATCTATCTATCTAACCTGTTGTGTGTGTAGCATTGTGTCTCTGTCAGCCTGGAAGCTTTTACCTGCCCAGCTCCTGTGCCTTTAAGGAGAGCCTGGGCAGGGGTGCCAAGACCCGTCTCTGCCCTGTGCAACAGCCTTGCCCACCAGTTTCCGCAGATCGTTAAGCACCCAGTGGCTAGGAAGGTTGTCCTTCTGATCAGTGGGCCACCCCATTATGCAAATTGTCAGGGTCTAACACTCTTGGGTAGTGAGTGTGAACCTTCAGAAGTTGCAAAGCACAACACAGACTTGGATACACAGAAATCCAAGCTCATACAGCTCCTGGGGCAGGATAAAACTCTAATAAACCAAATAAATTTGTGACAACATCTACCGTTGGCTATAGCCCTCCACTCACTCTTTGGCAAAGGCAAATTCTTCTGGAGACAGGATGGATGGCTCCCCCTCTGCGCGAGTCTTCTCCTTCTCTAGGACGTGAGGAAAATATTTCTCTATCTTCAAGAAGAAATAAACAGGGTTGAGGATGCCAAAGCCCTTTGCAGTTGTGCTGAGCCCAGAAATTGCATGGAAAATGAACGAGAAGGTCCTGTGGGAAAACAGGTGCTGGTCCAGGACCCTGCTTTCTGTGGAGTTGTTTTTCAACCTTGCGCCTTGCAGGTGCTTTGGACATCAACTCTCAGCAGGCTCAGCCAGTGGCCAGGAATTCTGGGTTCTAGTCCAAACATCTGGAGAGCATCAAGATGGGTAGGGCTACCTTAGCAGGAAGGGAGGCTGGAAAAGGCCATGAACTTGTTTAGTGAGAGTATGTGGGAACCCAAGCCATAGCTTACGGAGGTGTTCAGCAGGGAAAGGAAAAGACAGGAGGGAGAGGATGGTCCTGCCCGGCACAGAGTGATTTCTACATGTTGCCTGCAGAAGGAAGCACCCCCAGTAACTGGACCCAGTGGGCCATTACCTTCTGGAGCCGGCAGCGCAAGTAGCTGCTGAGGACGTAACGGATCCTCTCGACCTCCATGCGGTGGATGCTGACCTTCAGGTCCCCTTTCTTGGCCCGCTTCAGATTGTCCTCCTGCAAGGCAAACAATCAGAAGGAAGGATCTCTTGGCTGCCCAAGCCCATTCATCTGTATGGATGTGACAGGCAGATCTTTGTAGACATGGGAAGAGGTGAAGAGGGGGCATCTATTCACAGCCAAGTTAAATTGAAGCAATTCTCTCAAACCACCCCGGCCATCACAGTTCTGAGTGCAGCCCAGCGGTGGTGGACTGGGATGGACGGATGCCTGGACGGGCAAGGACATCGCAGCTCCTCTCATGCTGGCTGGGGGCGATGGGAGTTGCTGCCCCACACATCAGAAGGGCTCCTGGGAAAGGCTGAACTTCAGGTGAAATTTTGTAAGAGGCATTTCAGGCTAGAGAGCAAATGATTTGCTTGCATCCGAGACCCAATGGTCTTCTGTTCTCACCATGTGCTCCAACTGCTCAATGACACACTCGACGATCTCCGATTTGCTTTCCAGCAGCTCAGGGGAAAACTTCTCATTCATCCAGGCCTGGAGGGCAAAAGCAGACAGAATGCGTTGTGGTTTTCTCCACCCTGCGACCCTTCCCCCTCTCCTGCCATGTTTGGATCTGCACGGCTAACCGCTTTGGCTTGCACCAGGGGGCAAGAGCTCCTTCCTGGGAAAATTCACCTATGCTGGATGCATCCTACGCAGGATACCTGGAGTTGCAGTCCCACCCATCCGGGGGCACCTGGTTGCTGAAGGCCAAGCACGCTTGCCTGGAAGCAAGGACACAATCCTACACATGTCTGGAAAGAAAGCGGCCCTACAATCCCCAGCATGTCCCAACCAGACACATTTCTCTTTTTCTAAGCACACCTGCTGGGGCATACTGGGGTTGTAGTGCTTTTGGGGTCTAAACGTGCATGTGATTGCCCTCAACCTCCCTAAACTTACTTCTGAATTAGCAGCACTTAACACGGATTTGTCCAGGTAAGGGTAGCGGGGGCTTTGGAGTTATGAGACCCCCACAACAGGGCATGGTCCCATAATTCCTCGCAGGGTCCGGAAGGCTGGCCTGGACGTATGGGGGGGGGGGGGGGTGAGTTGGCGGCCTCCTGGTCCACGACGTCCTCGAGTTCTTTGCCTGTTCCCACCCCCGCTCTGGTCTCTGCATACAACCCACGCTGCACCATGTTAATCCTACTGCGAGGGCCCACTGCAATGAACGAGGCCTCAGCTGCGCGGCTCACCGAATTTACTAATAGGATCGGCAAGGAATACAATCGCAGGGGCCCCGGCCCGTAGCAGCCCAAAGGTGGGGGGGGGTCACCAAAAAAACCGGGGGGAACGTTTCCTCTGCTCTGCAGCCTTTTGAAGACAGAATTGCAAACGCAAAGGAACTCTGGCAAAAAGAAAACTGGAGGGGGCGACGAAATGGGGGGGGGAGGTGAGGTTTGGCACCGGCTTCAGTGCAGGATCGGCCCGCTCACCTGCTCCAGGCTTCGGATGAGCTGGGCCGGGGTCAACAGCACCTCCTCGCTGCCCGCCTCCGAGCCCCGGTCCGCGTCCGGGTCCGGGTCCGCGTCCGCCTCCGCCATCGCCCCGGAGCGGGCGCCGCGCTTTCCCGCCAGCGCTTCCAAGAGGGAAGCCTCGCCCAGTGACGCCAGCGCGGCGCGCGGAGAGGGAAGGCGGCTCGCCCCGCCCCTCATGCATATGCATGAGGGGGTCCCTTTGCTCGCTCCCCCCTATAAAGGGGGTCCGGCGCACTCGCCAAGGCGGGGCGGGGGGGCATCTGCCGATGTAACACGTGCTCCCCGCTATCCGCCCTGCAGCTCTCCACGCTTCCGCTTCACCGGATCTGCTGAGCCTAGCCAGGTAGGAATCCAACTGGTGCAGCCCCACGCACCGCTGCGTTGCCCAAGGCTGCTGGGATAGGAGCCGAGCGCCAACGCCGATGACGCAGAAGCGGCTTGGCCGCTTTTCCTAGTTCGCGGGGGCTGCGTTCTTTCCTCTCCCCCGCAGAACACGCTGCTACGCGCTCGCCGCCCGTTTGCTGTGTGTCGCAAGTGTCTTTGGCACTAAGCGTGGCCTTTGCTTGCTTTGTTGCAGGAAGGAAGAGGTCTGACTGTGGCATGTTCCATCATTATACTCAGGGGGCTCCCCAATTCCTCCTGTAGGACCTGCGCTGCTTTCCAATAATCTTGCACCAAATGCAAAGCTGTGAAGAGTTTTGTATACTGAGGACCAGTGTCCGGTCTCAAATTAAGACTCCCGATCGGAAGGGCTTGTGGTAGTCCCACCTGGTGCTTCTGTATTTATTTGTCGCAGGAGAGAATTACTTTCAGTCTCCTTAACTTAAAAGCAAGTTTCCATGAGCAAAAATTGAACCAGTTTGACAATTAGTAGAGCCCTTTTTCTTCCTTCATTCCCACAATCCTTTCATGACCCTCTCGCCAGTCAGGAGACCAGTACTGCCATTCCAGTTAGGAAACCTTCCCGTGTTCAAAACAAAGGAATATCCAGCTTTCAGCAAGTGAGCCGCCGTCTCACTCAACATGCTAGCTTTCTACTTGGGAAGATTTATTGTATGGATAGAAAATACTTGTTTTACTATCTCCCCCATGGGATGAAATGTGACTATGATCTTAGGAAAACTACTGTGGGATTATTGCTGCCCCAAATCCCCCCCATGATTCCCAAGAAGCTACTAAGCAAAGATGGCTTGAAAAGGGGGACCAGGGACAAACATGGAAACAGAAGCTCCAGTTTGAGTCCTTATGCCGTTAAGCCCCAGTTTCAGGGGAACAAGCATGCAGGCGGGTCATTGCTAGAGGTCGCAGGGCTTTTTAAAAGCTTGTGTGGTGCAGTGGTTAAGAGCAGGGACTGGGACTCAGACGATCCGGGTTCTAGTCCCCGCTCGGCCATGGAGCCAACTGGGTGACTTGGGGCCAGTCAGACTCTTAGCCCAACCTACCTCACAGGGTTGTTGCTTTGGGTAGAGCAAGAGGAGGAGAATGACGCAAGCTGCTTTGAATTCTTAAAAAAGGAGAGAGAGAAATCTAACGAATAAAAGTACTTGTGGACCACTGTAGGAAATGGGATGCTGTATTATTTGTTAGATTTATATCACGCCTTCTTTTAAAGAACATAAGGTGGCTTGCATCATTCTCCTCCTCTTGCTCCCCAGTCCTAACCCTGGTTCCTGATGTGTTTGTCCCGTTGGAGCATTTATGAATACTTAGCTAACAGCAAGATTGTACCACGCAAGTTTCATCATATCTAGGCAGACTTGGGTGGATGCGTACAAGGCATTTTCACCCATTAGCAGCAAGTCCCTACATGGAACTACTTGATGGAGTCCACTCGGGAACAATGGCAAAAGTCCGATTTGTGGAATAGCTTATGTATGCAGGTAACCAAGAGCATCAGAAACTTGGCCAGTGGGGGGAGAGTGAACACATACACAATCCTTCACACGTGGAACACCTCAAATTCCCACAAAATGCTGCAAAAGGCAATTCATTCCACTTCTGCAGAACAAAGAACCCTGCATTTCAAGTCAGTGCTAGTAAATAACAATTTATTTAAGAAAAAAATTACTAATCCATTAATATTTCTGAAAACTGATTGTAACGGGTGCAAAAGGCAAAACACTGTTACAGATTAGAAAAAATCTGGAGTTTATACACTTAAAATATTAACCAGACTCAGAGGGAAGGATAAAGAAACCAGCAAGGAGCAGGAATCGAAGAATTACCCATCTGGAAACTGTGATCTGCTTTTGGCATCTCTTGTGTCATTCAAAAAAAGTCAAAACACTCCTCTTATTTTGTATGTGGCCTTGTTTGGCAAAACCCTGCATTCCCGGGCATAAGGAGATGGTGACCACCCAGCACCTGAGTTCCTCTGCTAGCTTCTACTCATCTTACATACCGAAAGGATCGCTTTGATTAAAGGAGAGGGAATTAGACATCTGATTCAGCAGAAGGTATCAATTCAGAAGATTAAAGGTTCCATATATTTTTGCAAGCATTGCTGGAGGAATGTTGAATGCAAGTGGAAGTACTATGGCTGCAGAGATGCACTTTGTGAGAGGACAGAGAAAGCACCGTCAAAACACCATTTCTAGTCAAGTGACTGCCTGGCCCTAAAACGTTTAACTTCTAACACACTGGGAAAGCCATTTATCATCTAGTTCACATATTCAACACTTAAAAGGGGCAGAGAGCAGGGATGGGAACATTTACTGGTTCAGCACACATTTTGTCTGCCACACTTCCTGACATTTAACAAAACAAGCGGTTTACCGTCTGGCTTTCTTGAAACAACACCAAGAACCAGAGGCTCCGTATGTCAAAGATTCTGCCAGCTCCGGGCTGAGCATCAAACACTGCAGCCCGCTCCATGCTTTCTTGTTGCCGAGGGCACCTTCAGCTCCAGATGGTATTTGTTTTGAGTCTCTTCTTGGTAGACAGAAGGACACCACATCCCTCTTCGTGTACTTGGCCTTCATTTTCAGAAACATTGCTTCCTTGGCCACAGGGCAGATTTCTTTCTGACAAGCCGGTAAAAAGCCAGGCCCTGTGGAGGGAGCCAGGTCGCTCTCAGGTGTCTTCTGGCTGGTCTCATACCCAATGTCTACAGCAGTTCAGCTTCACCTTAGGAAGTAGCTACCTGGACAAGGTACCTTTTCAGGCTCAGAGAGGGACACAAAATGGATGCTGGCCAGCTCCCAGGGTTTTCCCACGGAGGGAGAGGAGGATTTCGAGAATCTGTCCTTATGGTCGATGGCACTGTGAAGTTGGCGACAGCAGGAAAGAATGAGGCTACGACAGGGGAAGTCGGGGCGTTTGCTGGGAGAAACACGGTGGACCCTAGAGAGCAGGAGAGTGCCAAGGTAAGATTTTGAAGGTGCAGACTGGCATGTTGTTCGCCCTTCAGAGGCGTGAGAAGCCAGCCAGGAGGCAGGGGCGGGAGAAGCAGAAGGCACGCGTTCGCGGTTGGAGCTCCCTCCCGTGGGTGCCCCTGGGAGCCCACTTCGCAGGTGCCTGGAAGCCCCGTGCTTCGGGGAGCGCTGCTTCCCACCATCTCTAGCCATCCAAGCCAAACCTTCCAACTGGCCCTCTGCAAGAAGCCGCAGCGGACAAGCAGTGGCAAGGAAGAGCGGGGCTCTCGCTGCTCAGCTTGGGAAGGACGGCACGCCACAGAAGCCTGAGAAAAACGTGTCTCGGTTTGGTACCCGTCTGTGTCAGCAGCTGAGCCAAGTCCCTTATGTAAGAACAACGTGACAAATGTTCTCCTAACCAGCAAGCTTTCCAGCTGCATGCAGCTTTGCTAAGCGCAGAAACACCCCCCCCCGCAGTTCCCCATTCCGTGTCTGTTCCATCCCAGCACAGCCATGCTAAAGCCGTGACGCCCTTGCTGACTTTGCTACAGAGCACGGCTATTTCGGACTCTTCCTGTTCTCTGCACGAATGGCTAAATGGCAGAGGGAATGACTGATTGCAGAATGGCCCCTCTCCAGGAAGAGCAACACTGACCTTCCCCTGCATCCTCCCCTAGAGCAGAACTGAGGCCCAGCATTCTGAAACAACTTGGGTTCATTTTTCGATATAGGTTATTTTAAAGTAAGCTTTAGAAGACAGATCCCGCTGGTGAAATTACTGAGAAACAATAACAGCTCGGCACGGTGACCGGCTACTCTGCAGGTTGGACAGGGGGCAGAGAAAGACTATTTTTGGTGGGGGTGCTTTTGTAGTTGTGGAGAAGCAGGTTACAGAACTAACAACTACTGTTAAGCTTTACCTTGGATATTAGGGGTTTATCTTCCGCTGCTCACGCCTCTGTCTTCATAAATCGTAATTTCAATCTGCACAGGATTGTTAAGAAAATATGCTGCAGAAGAGTTACAGAGAGAGAGAGAGCACGCGCTGACACCTTCTCTTCATTCCTTTGCAATGGCTGGTTACAAAGTTATGCCCTCAGGGGGTGAGTGGAAGTTATGCCCTCTCTTCCAAATCCTGGAGGATGGAGCAAGTTCATACTGACTGGAAGCCCCTTACAGGAAAGACATGCGGGAAGCGCTTTGCTGCATCCCCAGGAAGGGTCCACATCCCCCCCCCCCGCAAATCCCCAGCAGGGGGACAAGAGAGTAACTTGTCACGCTCTTTCCTTCTGGAGCAGTTAAGCAGCTGCTTTGAACAGGAAGACGGCAACCCCCTTGCAATCGCAAGAAGCCAACAGACGAAGACTCACCCGTGCAGGGATCTGCAAGTCACTCCCATTCGTTCCTTGTTTCAGATATCCACTTTTATGCCCAGAACTTTAGCCCTGGCAGCTACCATTCCTTACACATACAGCCAAAAGATGTTTCGTTCCTCCACCACCTCCGTGGAGCGATCCACTCTCAATCACGGTCACAACATACTAAAACACGATGGGGACATTATTCAGTCTGTGCCAGCCACCTTCACAGGCAGGAAGGGTGAGGGACATCAGCCTTAAGTTCCAGCCCAGCCTTTCAGGCCCTCTTCCCTTGGGCCTAATGCTTTCCACCAACCGTGATTCATTCAATACATTTCTGACTACCGGGCAGGATGTGCCCCTTTTCCAAAAGGCTGAAATGCCTCTCCCAAGGCTTAATTACAGGCAGCTGAGCTTGAAGCTACAAGGTGCTGGCATCCTGTGTCTTCAGCCCCATCTCTTCTGCCCTTTGTGTCACCTACTCTTGGAATATAACCCAAGAGCTTCTCCAAAACTGAAAGCGACTTGGGCCAAAAGAAGTTTTCCTCTCCTGACACACAGAGTTGAGTTTATTATATTTATATCCCACTGTTGCCTGCAAGACAGCACCCACGGTTCCCCTTTCCTCATTCAGATCCTTGCAATGACTTTGCGGATGGACCCAAGTCAGCCTTTGGGCTCACGTGGGGAGCTGAATTTGGCTCTGCCGAGGCTAACACCGGCTGCCTGAGCACTTCAACGTCTAGTGTAAGGATAGCAGAAAGTTGGGACTACCGTACGAAAGTGGAATCAAATCTTCACAGGAAAGCCCAAAATAAGTAGAAGCTGCCAGACATTTTACCCTGACCCACTCTGGGAATAACTGCATTGTTGTTTGATCGCCCGCAGGTTGTTTCACTGGTTGACAAAGGTTGTTTCATTGGTTCATTGGAGACACAAAGATAAGCCACATGCCTGAATAAGGAAGAATGCGAGAGGTCAGGGAGCCCCAAAGGATACAACTCTCAGCCCTCTCTCGATGGGATCCGTCAGCAGGAGGCCCTGCGGGGCATATATCTTCTCATTCTGCTCCTGAATGTACTTGGCAATTTTCTTCAGAACCTGGAGAAAAGCAGAAACGGGACAGTCCTATAGCGTTTACAAACAGGGATGCAGGTGGCGCAGTGGTTTAAACCGCTATGCTGCTGGGCTGGTTGATCGAAAGGTCGCTGGGTCAAATCTGCACAACGGGGTGAGTTCCCGTTGCTCTGTCCAGCTCCTGCCGACCTTGCAGTTCGAAAGCATGCAAATGCAAGTAGATGAAAAGGTGCCACTTCAGTGGGCAGGTAACAGCATTCCGGGCACTTCGGTGTTTAGTCATGCCAGCCACATGACCACGGACACTGTCTGCGGACAAATGCTGGCTCCCTCGCCTAGGAAACGGAGATGAGCACTGTCCCCTAGAGTCAGGCATGACTGGACTTAATGTCAAGGGGAAACCTTTACCTCTACCTATAGCATTTACATTCATTCCAGCTAGCATGCATTTTTTTTAACCCTTCCAAAAAGCAGTATTTGAAAAACTGTAGTACAAGTCATACTATTTTCTCTCATTTTGTAATCAGGAGGGGAAAAGCCCCCAAAGTTAAAATACAGGAAACAGGCCAGTCTCTGCTTCACCGATCTCTTGCTGCTTCTGACTCAGAGCAGGCATTTGCTCCCTGTTCGAAGGAACACCTGCAGTGTGTCACGAATGCCGATAATACCATACAGATATTAAGCTGGAGCTTATACTAGCCCTGGGCCAAAAGAATTTAGTAAGGTGAGGCTAAACTTGATGCTGCCATGTAGCTTTCTAGTGTATCAGGTGGTGTGCGAGTACTGATTTATTAACAGTATTTGTACCCCGTCCTTTACGAGACGTCCCAGGACGGCTTACAACAATAAATAAATCACAACAAAATACTGAGCATGACAATGTTAAAAACCTATTAAAATAATCAAATATGAAAATAATGGGCAAATAAAAAGGTTTTTGCCTGGCACCAAAGAGTGTAAAGTCAGCGCCAGGCAAACCTCTCTAAGGAGCGTAATCCACAATCGGGGTGCCACCACAGAGAAGGCCCTCCTCCTCATTCTAGTAACCAGAATGGGCAGATGCGGGAAACAGACTGACATTGTGCATTTCCTTCTCTGTGGCTTGCTAGATGTCACAGTTTGCAATATGCACTGGCAAGGCACAGCACTGACGTGAGACTAAGGAACCCCTCGGCTGAGGGGCCCAGAAGGAGATGCATTCAAGCCAAGCAAGTTCCTTTGCCCAAGTCCCACTTCGGCCACCAGTGGGCCTGTCCTCAGCCCCGCTTTTAATATGGGGCATTACTGATCTACCCTGCATTTATGTCCCATCCCTCTTCCTCTTGCAAGGGTCTTACCTAGTGTTCCTCCACTTCATTTGATCCTCAAAACAACAATCCTGTGGTGTAGGCCAGGGTGAGGCAATGACTGGGCCAGAGGCCCCATGGCTGAGTGGGGACTAGAACCTGATCTCCTGATTCCTGGACCAGCACCCTTAACCATGACACCACGCTGGCTCTCCAGTGGATAGTAAGAATGGCAGGCAAGGTGTTGGCTGGATGTCCAAGTCACGAGTGTCGAGGGCTTAGAATTCTAACAACACCGGACAAGGAGGAGATGGCTACATCCACCGGATCCGTTAGCAGCCGCAGCATCCAGCTGGAATGGATCTGAATGGCTCTGCCTGCAAAGCACCGAGCAAATTATTCACGGAGGGCTGCCAACGGTCCTACTCCTCCTCTTGTGGGTTGGCACATCAAAGACCCCTGGCCACCCTACTTGAACTGGGTTTAAGGCAACCCATTAAGTCAAGGCAATATTAAAAGCAGAAGTGAGTGAAACAGCTTGACCCAGCTACGGAGTTTTTTGATGAAATAGGTCGGCTGCTTCAATGCAGACATACTGCTAACTCCAGTGGAAATTCTGAGAGGCTGCTCTGTGCGGGAGGGCAAGCCAAGCGTATCCAGATACGAACTGATTGCCCACAAATTTATCAGTCTTACTGAAAGGCCCAATTCGGTTACAGAAGGGAAAAAAATCAAAATGCAAGTGTGGTCTTTGGCAAGCGTGCTTTATTCCAAAAAGGAACAGCAGACTTTGAAAGTCAACTTGGCTAGCTGCTTGTTTGGGGTCTAAATACTCTGAGACAGAATGCTAAAAAGTGAACATCGAGCACCCTCCAAGTAGCAAGGGGACTGGCGCCAAAGCAAAACTATAAAAAATCAGAAACAGAGAATGCTGGTGTGAAAGCGGCTGTGCCTGAAAGGCCCAGAGCGCCCCGCCACAGCCGCCTGCAAGAAAGAGCTAAGCTCATCCCTTATTCCTGAACCATCAGCCAACAGGCAGTTAAACAGCCTTTCTACTGCCAGGAAAGTGGTGGGTGGAAAAAATTCCATCCACCCTTTTGTACTGAAAATTTCACATGGGACCAGAACAACAACAGGCAGGTGGGAGCAGCTCCTGGTAATGCTGCTGTGGGAGGGAAGGGCCAAGGGAAGGGAGGTTTCCCACAAGCAACTTCCCCTTATTTAGGGCGCCTTCATCAATTCAGCAGCAAAGAACTGAATTCAGCATAGAATTCTGCTGCTGAATTTAGGAGGGAGCCTTGCATGAGGGGAATTTCCTGCTAAGAAATAGCCTGCCCGAAGGGGCCTCGGCTGGGGGGGCACACGAGTGGCGAGTTGAAGAAAGCGGCCCCATCCGCCAGGCGCTGGTGTGCAGCCATCTCGGCACAGCTGTGCGCGGGGCTTTCTGCCAGTGCGCTTTGTGCCACACTGGCCGGCACTGGAGGCAGGCGGGGCGCACAGCACGAAGGGGGACCTTTGATGCTTCCCTCCCAATTCGCACCTGCATGAGGTGAGGATCACTCAGGCACCCGCAGCCTGTGGAGACTGGATGCTCGCTGGCTGACTCTGTGGCTCCCGCCGATCAAAATCACCTCCCACCAACAGCATAAAACCTGGCAAAATGCCTTGAAAAACCCCGGTCCCTTGCTCGCCTCTCTCCAGCTGCCTCCACGAGCACAAAATGCTCTGAGGGATGTGGACAAGGGCCCTGATGTAAGTTCCGTCGCTCTCCTGGCGTATTCTGTGAAGGTTTCTGGCGTAGAACTGCTTTTCCCATTTTCGTTGTGCATTTTCATTACTTTCTTCCCCTAAACTGTTTTCACCTTTGCTTCAGCAAATGCGTTTATTTGGATAATAATTTGCCTGTTTGCTCTGCCACGAGCTGAGATGCTTTGGGGCGTACTTGATGGACGGGCGAAGGGCTGGCTCCTTTTGTCCTCGGATGCTCTGAGGTGGAGGAGCCCTGCCCGCCTCCACCAGACAAAGGAAGGGCAGTGGCAGAGCACAGAGCGAAGGACAGCTTGGCACAGTGCCCTTCCTTGCCGGGCTGGCTCCCGGGAAATCGTGACAGCCCCGCTTTCTGCCCTCAGCTCGGCCCCGTCCCTTGAAGTGCGTGATATGCCACTCTGGCATTCCTCCCTTGGGCAAGTCTACAGTCTAGGCTACCAGAGACATTCTAACCTTTCCACACTTCCGCAAAGCTCTGTGCTTCAGCCAGCCAGGCAGTAACAGAACACGCACTAAAGACACACTCTCCGTTCATCGAGAAGTCTGTGGCCTTGCTCTCCTTGAACTGGCAAAGCTCTGACTGGGCTATACCAAGGGCAAGCTGCGGGGAGGAATGTGAGAAATCCATCCATGCAGTCAACGAGTGGCTTTGGCACAGCCACTTTTCTACATGCAAGCCACCCCCTCCACCCGTATAAGCATTCAATCGTGCAGGATCCGTCTAGCCTCCAGCCAGAAGGGATGCAGAGCAGATCTTGGCTGGCCACCTTGGTGAGAGCTAGGCCCAATTTTTAGGGCCATTAGAGAAAGAAAGGCCCCTTTCCCAGGAAGCGGGACGCCTGTTCTTTGGCAGACGATGGGAGCGAGCAAGCCAACGGCATCTCTCAGGCGTTCCAGGGCTGCTTTGCTGCAGTCCATAAATGAAGGATGAACTGAACAAACAGGAGGCCGGCTTGGCTATTCTTGGGGCACCCCCTCCGTGTTCTTCGAGGGGCTCGGAAGAAACCAGATACCTTCTCATAGTGTGTCTCCATGCACAGGAAAATAGTGTAGGCGGTCAAGCAGGCCAGACACCCTTCGAGGTACGACTGGCTCCCGAGCTTTTCTGCTTCGGCATAGAGATTGTTGAGCGTCCGCACGGTTTCTTCAAACTGCTGCCTGTCGACCTGAAAAGAGGCCCGCATTCAGAAGTCATTATTTTGCTTCATCACCGGCTGCAGGAAAAGCAGAAGGCTCATTCACCGCTGGCTTAAGGATTCGGCTCTCAGGTCCCTGACTGCCAGCACCAGGTGCCGGCTTCCCTGATGAACAGAGAGCGTATGCATGCCCTGGCTGTGACCAAATTCTGCCCGAGCATCCCTAACTCAGACACATACCTTTCATGCGGATCCCGACACAAGAGAGGACATTGAGCAACGCAATGGATTACATCTTCGGCAAAAGTTTCACAAAACACTTGTGTGCGAGCAACCCAGAGCGGTCCACCTGGCACCCGAGTTGTGCTGTGTGCGGCACTAGCTGAAGAACTCAACGCTCTCCAGGCATGTCACTCTTTCAGTCTGTTCAAACCCGTTATGGCATTTTAAGGCTTTGCATTAATGCCAGTTTTCAATTTTTGTTTTATTTTATACTGTAGCTTAAGCTTTTACATGGCTTCTTATTGTGTTTTGTTTTGTTCGTTGTAAATGTGAACTACACTGAGTCCAGCCTTTAGATGGTACAGACATGTAATGAATGAATATGTAAAACAATTGTAGTTTCTCTTAATGGTCTTTCAAGGAAAAAAAGGACATGATACAAATTCTTAATCCTGTAAAACTACTAAGATGCAAATAACTAGATTTCTAATGCTAAACCTTTTTATTTTCCCATTATTTTAAGGTATGACTTGGTTTTAATGTAGGTTTTATTTTATTGGAATTATTTGGATGCTGTGCTTAATTTCATTTTCCTGTTTTTATTGTAAGACCGTCCCGAGACTTTAGTAGTTGGACGGTATATAAAATGCTCTAAATTGATAGATGGAAGTATTTTCCTCATCTAGAAAATCTAGATCAGTGAATGATCACCGTATCAGTCAGAATGTCTTTTCCAAACAAAAAGACTTAACTGAAATTGGGACATTGACTAGATCTTACCCAGTGGAAAATCAAGATGTTTAGCAAGTGTCTTTAAGACAGTCACTCTCTTCTGAGAATTTATTGGAGAACCGTAAGTTTGAAAGACCAAGTATGAAGCTGGCAAAGTTAACATTGTATTATGACACAATTTAGAAGCCAGACTTGTATTCTAGTCCAAAGAGATGCCACCCCACTTCTGCACAGATGTGAGCAGCAGCAACAGGGCCACATTCAGAAGTGAACGCATTCAGACTGATTCCTGCTCCAAACTCCGAGAGGTATCCAGTTTCCCGTGCTGTGCAACCACAGGCTGTGCTCCTGATAGGCAGCACAATAAACAATGCAGCAGTGGCAAGAGCCGAGCAGGGAAAGAAGTGTATGGAGGCGATTTCATGCCTGTACCACTGTAAAATGGTAAGAAACACAGCAAGGCAGTTGCAATGTCATAAGAGAAGGTATCCAAAACGCCTGAGAAGGGGTGGGAAGCGCCCTGACTAGATCTCCCCCTCCAAAAGCAGAGTTTTCTCTAGGGCACAGAAGAGGTGTTCTGAGGCCTACTGTGTGGCACAAGAGGACTGCTCTCTCCTAGAACAATCCTTTGCCTGTTTACTCAGAAGTAACCTCCCAGCACTCAATAGGAGTAATTCCGCAGCGTGTGTAAACAGCCTTGAAACCTCATTCCTAGCTGGGAGGTTAAACAGTTAGACCCCCAGTTCCAAAACCAGAATACTTTCCAGTGCAGATGTGTTCTTAATCCAAGGCACAAATTACAAGATGTCAAATAAGCAGTCGCTTCTCGGGCTTAGAAGAAAAAAAAGCCTGCCGGGGCACTTCCGAAAGCTCCTTTTGATACAAACCAATTAGCGTTAAGTGATCAACTGGCAGCGTCATGTGGAGCTATTGACCGAAAGGTCAGGCGAGGCAATCGCAGTGTAATATGGTACTACTGCCCGTCCTCGTGTTCAGTCATACAAGAAGCCTGTCCTCCCGGGATCTCCGCGCGCTCGCCAGCCACCAGCGAAGGGAAAAACTGCACAGGGTGCCTTCGGGTAGCCCTGCGAGCAGAGCATCCAAAAGCCTGGCCGGCGTGTGCGAGGCAGGCGAGCGGAAGCCCCCCGGTCTCCTTTCAGCTCTGCCACGCTTATTAGGGCCCCTTGGTCAGGTGCTCCTCTGCCAGCAGACCCCTCCCCACTTAATTCTACAAGGTGGGAGCATGGCTGGCCCACTCCAGAGGGCGAGGGGAAGTTCTGAGACCATGCACATGGAGCATGCGAGGTGCATGACGCGGGCAGGCATTTAAGCTCAGCTCAGACAAAGTACTCACCTGGACACACTTTTTACTAGCCTGCTAGAAGGCTGGCAAAGGAGGGGCAGAGGTCTCTGTCTCTCTAGCGCACCCCACTGCAATTCTATCTAGGCAAACAACGTCATCCTCTTAAGGTGTCTTCCTTGTCAGCCAGCCAGGCTTCCAGGCAGGAGAGAAAGCCCCTCCCCTGCATCCCCCTGCAGCAAGCTCATCTGCCTCCAGGCAACTCCTTGCAGCTTAAGGGTTGTCAGGTACCACTTCAAGACAAGGCTGACAGAAAGTCTTAGTGACATACAAATGCATGTATCTAATTTCATAGCAACATGTCAATACATCCAGTTGCCGTTTCCGCTCACCACTGCAGTTAACAGCAGCCTCAGTGCTTTCCAAGGTTTCTACGGCTGACTCCTTTCCATGGCAAGCAGATTTACACTGGGCCTCGAAGAGAACTCTGAAGTGCACTCTTCGTTCCGGGGCACCGTGCTCATTGCGCAGCATGAATCAGAAGCACCACGCAGTTCATGTCCCAGCGACAGGGAAAAGCTGCTCATCTGCTGAGCTGCCTTTACCCAAGAGTCTGCCGGATTCCTGAGCAAGAATGTTACTCAGAGGACCATACTGCTCAGGCATCCTGGCCACCAGCGAGTGTACTTCCCGCTAACGGGAGCTTCAGGGCAGTTTTACTGCGAATAACTTTTCGACAGGCTTAACTTTGCAGACTTCATGCAGCAACAGGATGCCCTCCCCCAGTCTGTAGCGTATCACAAAGCAGTCTCCTCAGCTCTCTTGTAAACAACCAGCATCCTCGCTGAAGCTGTGTTCCTGATGCCTGTAAACAGGCCTCCGACAGTGAGGCAGACAACACAGCAGCTCTTTCAGTCACATGGTGCAACAGAGACTCCCACACAGGTGTGACTCCACTGCCTTTACTTGCCCAGGTTGCAGTGTTCAGCAGGACATACACGTTCAGCAAACTAGTAAACAGGAAGTGACGGTGACCAGAGATCCAGGGAACCAACAATTCTTCTTGATGGAGGACGCGCCTCCATTTGAAGGTGCCCTGTGCGAGCATGGCTTACAGCTAAAAACCCAAGAAGGGAGAGGGAGGGTGTTGGAGCTGCCCATTAAGAGTAAGTGTCTGGCCAGCTCCTTGAGCAGGTGCCAGTCACTGGTTTAGTCTCACTACCTGGTGAGGTGCATGCACTTCTATTTAAATTACTGTACCTTCTATGTTTGCCCACGTGCACACACATATGCAAACTGATTCTTTTGTCCTCTTCTGGGGACATGAGTAACAGGCTGCCCTATCTGAGATGGCAGGAAATTTCCGTGAGACACATGCGCAATGCTTCCTCCACTTCACTGGATTAAACAGGAACCAAGAAGCCCACGGCATCATCTCCTTAGCGACAGAAAGCCAAGTGCAATGCCGCCTCCCAGATCATGTCACACAAATTTGCTTCCCCACTCGGCGCCAGACCATAAGGGAAGAAGAGGAAAGTCCCCAGCGCTTACCCGGTTCTCCAGCTCTGGAGGGAACTTGGTCTGGAACTGGCACTTGGTACCACTGCTGTAGTCCCGCTGGATGAAGACCTTGCTGGCCACAGGAGGCTGCTGCGGCCTCATCTCGCAGCTTGAACGGCCAACTCTGCAGGTGGGTGGAAGGGGACACACACACGGCTCAGAGGTCTTAACGTGGAGTCACCCAGGCAGGCAGGCAGCAGGTCCCCACTTTCCTTCCAAGCTCTTTGTAGCACCATCGAACTACGTCCCCTTCAAGTCGTTATTTCATACCTTCCCTTGATGACCCTCCTAACCGTCTCACTCTCTCAAATTTTCCCCAAACAGCCTACGTCAAGCTGCCACCCAGGGAAGGCAGTTACCCCAAACCTAGTGTTTTGCATAACATAGGCTTAATCCTTAGGAAAGTGCCCATCTACACACCAGTGGTTATTTTTATGAGCAATTAAATAGGTCTGTGTACTTAAAATACACATCAAAGGTGCCAATTCTTTTGCTTTAAAAGGATATTCATTTGTGCTGTGTGCCAAGATCATGATAATTATGACTGTACAGAAACTCACAAAAGTGCCCTTATGCTTTTTTGCAACCTGGTCTTGAATGCTCCCAAAGACAGCCCTTAAACATTACTAAGATCAACGCTTTGTGCCTTGAAACCTAAAACAGAACCCACACTACAGGACCCCCCAGCAACTCGAATGACACCTTACAGCTCTTGTTTCAAACCAACCAGGAAGTCCTCTCAACCAGGCTCTTAGCTACTATTTCAAAGTGTTTTCCTCTTTTGCCAAGTTCTGTTTCTGGGCTTTAAAAATATTGACACAGCTTTGCACACACCTTAGTGTTGTGTAGCACAGTTCATTTTTTAAAAATGTTATCAGCAGATATTACTTTTAGTTTAAGAGTCCCCTTGAGTGCTTTTCTGGAAAGGAGACTAATTTAAAGGGAATCTAACCTCCTTCTGTAACTGCTACCTCCCCCCCCCCCACTGACATAGCTCAAATTCTTTCTCTCCAAGATGCAAGCTATGATTATACCCTTCCATATGTGTCCGATTGCAAATCAAATGATTCCCAAATGGTATGGCCAGCATGCAGTCTGGAAATCTGGAGGGCGCCAGGTTGGGAAAGGTGGAACTAGGCAGAGCACTGAAGTGCATTATACCCATTAAGAAAACAAACTCTTGCACGGGAAGGGGAACATATGTGGAAGATATGAAAGTAATGTAGACATGCAAAGTATTATACAGATTCATTTACATACACCGGTTTTTTTAACCTTCTTTCTCTATAAAGTTCAAAGCAGCCTGCATGGCACGGGTGGGGAACCTCTTCCAGTGAGAGGCATAAGTTCACTTTTGGAGAGGTACTTGGGGCCCATATCCCAGTGTTGGGTGGGGCCAAAAGCAAAGGAACAGGGGGGACTCATGCATACACAGAGTATAATCCGGAATAAAACTTTCACTACCAGTACCTACCCTTTAGCAGAGGCATTTCAGCCTCATAAAATGGAAATTCCATCCAAAAACCGGAGAAATGCCAAATTATCAATGGCTGTGTTGGAAAGACCAGGGCCATCTGAGGAATCCCAGAAGGTTGGAAGGGGTGTAATGCGGGGAGACTGACCTTTGAGCCTGAGCATCCCTACCCCAAGGGTTCTCACCTGACCCATACCACAACTCTGTGAGGTAGACCACGCTGCAAGAGCGTGCGTCTGTGTCCAAACATGTGTACGTGTGCTTGCACATATGTGACTGGCCTATGGGTCACCCACCAAGGTGGGGTGTCAACCCGCCTTCAGAGCGCACGCCTCTCTTCCAAGCTATCCCCTTCCCCACCCAGCCCAATCTGCCCCTTCCCTACCACCCAACCCCGCTCTGCCACCCAGAGCCGCCGTTCCCCACCCAGCGGATGCTGCTCCGTCGCCCCAGGGCCCTTCCTCGCTGGGCCCCTCCTGGCCGCCCCTCCCGCTCCTGTCGCCCCCGCCACGTCCCCTCTCCCCTCCCTGGCCCCCTTTCCCTGCCCCCACGTCCCCCTTACGGGCAGAGCCGGAGCCCCTCCGCCGCCGCGGCCGCTTCTTCCTCCTCCTCTTCCAGCTTCTGTCGCGATCGCGCTGCCACTTACGGCTGCCGTAAAGCAACCGCTCCTGAACAGGCACCGAAGAGGCTGCCGGACGCACTGCACCGTAGAGGTATAACAACTAGAGCAGCCCAACCCCCTCTCCTGTGAAGTCACTTCCGGGAGAAACAGGCATTTTTAAATACCCCCCCCCCACTCTGGGCGGGGCGGGTGGCCCCGATTCTTTGCGCTCGCTGGAGTCAGGCGGAGGGCCGGCTTTCCTGGAAACTGAGGGAGAAGCCGGAGAGGTGAACACAGCAGCAGCCTGTCCAGACCTGGCGCTGCATCCCAGCTTTCCCCAACCTGGGGCCCTCTGCTTGTGTTGCGCTACATCTCCCAGGGCTGGCGGGGAAGTCTGGGAGTTGTAGTCCAACACATCGGGAGGGTGGCAGGTTCGAGACAGCGTTAGCGCTGCCCCCTGGCCAACAATTTCAGGTTTTATGCATTTCCTGCATGAAAACAAACTAACTGAAGACAGCAAACCCTTTGGCTGGAAATTGACGCCGGGGATCTCCTGAAACGGCAATTTAACTTTTTCTAGGCTAACACCTTTTGCTCCAGTGGATGAAGCAGTCTTGTCCTGCACCACACTCACACGGCGAAAAGGCCCTGAGCAAATCATCAAGGGAGCCAAGCCGCGTCTTGCAAGGGCCACGCTCCCCTCCCTGCTCATGGGGTTTGAGCCGCAGAAACGCCCCCCGGCGCTTCCCCAAGCCATTCCTTTGAAGCAGGAACAAGGGGCCCGGCCGAGTGCCGCACCAGCCGCTTTTCTGCTGGGCCGCGCGTCCCATTTCACAGAGCACCCAGCTCTCTTTCAAGGGCAGCCTGAGGACCATTCCCCCTTTCTTTCCTTTTTTCTTTTTAAATAAGTTTTATTCTAAATAAACCTAATACAAAGAAAAACGAAAAACATCAGTCATCGGAAACATTGGACCTGCTGGGTCAGCCCCTACATTTTTGCTTTTTATGTTAACTTATGAACATATTTAAATCTATGCGAAGCCCCGTTTCTCTAGCCAATAATAAAAAGAGTCCCAAGTTTGACAGAAGTCAGTATCTTCTTTCTCCTTCAGTGACAAAGTCAATCTGTCCATTTCTGCACAGTCCGAGATCTTTTTTAGGATCAGTTCGTCGGTGGGTGGTTCTTCACTCTTCCAATGTTGGGCAAATGCAATCCTCGCCACAGCAATTACATGTAAAGTCAAGTACATTTCTTACTAATATCATCAGGTATAATGCCTAATAAGAAAACTTCAGGTTTAAAAGCTAGAGATTTTTGTAACATTTCCTCAAGCCATTTATGTATTTTAATCCAATACTTTTTTGCTTTATCGCAAGTCCACCACATATGATAGAAGGTACCCAATTTATGGTTACATTTCCAACATCCATTTGACATATTTGGAAACATCTTGGCTAGTCTATTTGGCGACAAATACCATCTATAAAGCATTTTATACAAGTTTTCTTTATGTGAAGTTGCTAATGTTACTGTAATATTTCTTTCCCACAGCTAGGGAATATTTCTTTCCCACAGTTCTTTCTTTCGAACACCATCCTCTGCTTGGAATCTGTTCTGCCCAAAATCAAGGCCTGCGGAAGGGAGAGCTTGACCTGAAGGGAGCGAGCCCCCCAAAACACTCCAGGTCATCATGCCATTTCCCCTTCTATAGTGAACTGCTATAGTTTCTGTTTCACTTATACCAACCACTGTTTTTCTGCTCATTCTTCCGCCTTTCTGTAACACAGGAAAACAGTCAAGGGCGGCAGCAGTGGGCGGCTGGGGGGAGATCAGCTTGCCGCACAGAAGCTTCTCAAGAATTAGAAGCAAGTCCCCTCCATCCTGGAGCACTCGGGGTGGAGGGGAACCCTTCTTGCACTCCAGGGAGGCTGCTGGTCTCTGAGTCAGTGGGGCTGCTTATCCATGGCTACTTTTATTCCGAGCTTTATGGGAGCTCTCCAGGATGCCCTTTTGCGCTGGAGTTCAGCACCATGGATACTTCCCATGGAAGCGCCAATAGGTGGGAACCCAGTGATCTCCCCGGGTGATGCTCCTCCCTCTCCGGGAGGATAGCCAATGGCCAGCCTGGGTGGGTGGAGCCAGTCCAGGGCCAGAAGGAACAGTGGCGCCTCGGCTCACGGACACCTCAGCTCACGGCCAAATCGGGCTGCGAACGGGAATGTCAGAAAAATGTTGCCTCGGGTCACGCGCTCCGCGTCGGGTGGCGATCGCGATCGGGCCCGCCCTCCCTGCGCTACCGCAGCCGTGCCTGGGGGCAGGGGGAGATGGCCGCGATCGGGCCCGCCCTCCCTGCGCTACCGCAGCCGTGCCTGGGGGCAGGGGGAGATGGCTGCGGCGGTGCCGGGCGGGGGAGAGGGCCGCGATCACGCCCGCCCTCCCTGCGCTACTGCAGCCGTGCCTGGGGGCAGGGGGAGACGGCTGCGACGGTGCTGGGCGGGGGAGAGGGCCGCGATCGGGCCCACCCTCCCTGCGCTACCGCAGCCGTGCCTGGGGGCAGGGGGAGATGGCTGCAGTGGCGCTGGGCGGGGGAGATGGCCACGATCGCGCCCGCCCTCCCTGCGCTACCGCAGCCGTGCCTGGGGGCAGGGGGAGATGGCTGCGATCGCGCCCGCCCTCCCTGCGCTACCGCAGCCGTGCCTGGGGGCAGGGGGAGACGGCTGCGGTGGTGCCGGGCGGGGGCGATGCCCGCGATCGCGCCCTCCCTCCCTGCCTGAGCGTGCCCCGATTGTGCTCACACTTGTGCAGGGAAGCCAGGTGCAGTCGCGGTCGTTCTGGGGGTGGGGGAGATGGCTGTGATCTTTGTTGTTCTTTGTCACTTTGTTTCAAATTTTTGTGATTAAAAAAATAGTTACAAACGGATTTACCTTATTTACATTGTACCTTATGAGGAAATTTGACTTGGCTCGTGACCAATTTGGGTGGCGACCACAGTCGTGGAACGGATTAAGTTCGTGAGCCGCGGTGCCACGGTGTTTCATTGAGAAGTTGCCACCTGCAGTTCATTGGCTTACCACATGGGGGCAGCCACATATGGATCCAACAGTCCCGGAAGCTGGAGTTTTGGGTTATTGTTAATTATTTTAAAGCGCCTTGAATATCTTTTTATCAAATGGTGGGGCATGATTCTTCTAATTAATCCCTTCCTATCTGAATTGATGGCTGATGGTTTGCAATCCACCTGCAACCCAGAATGAGAAAGCACAGTCTGCTGCAAACCATGGTTTGGTGATGCCTGAAATTAACAAATGCCACTGCCACCATTGCTCTGCCTTTGGAAGGCTCACCCTCCTTAGAAATGGGCATGTTGAAGAGATGGAACCCGGAAGCAGGCAAGCAGCTCTAAACTGCGGCTGGCCCAAGGCCCAAACACTGGAGGCAAGTGAAAACCATGGTTTGACGTGATGTCACTGGGGCAAGTGCACCTGCCTGCCTCACTCACTCTCACAGTGGGGCTGGGAAAGGTGCAGTTAGCAATATTGCCCTTTAAAAAGAACTCGGAAGCCTTTCAATTCTCCTCCTGCCGGTTTTCCTCACTGTCCAGGTTTCACACCCACAGACTGACAGGGAATACCACAGTTTGGATGCTCTTGGTCTCCAGTAAACCGTCCTTACATCTGACAAGCTTTTCTAGTTCCTTTGTTGCTGCCCTTCCAAGTCTCGGTCTTCTTCGAATTTCTTGGCTGCAGCCTCCCTTTGAATCGATGACGGAGCGGAGGCATTGCACCCTTAGAATCTAAAAAGGATGCTGCATGCAAGTAAAAAGAGATGAGGAGGGGAAAAAAAGAACAAACGAAAGTCAATTGTCTGGCCGTGCTTGGATGGTAGGATGAAGCTGCCCCACAGGAGTCCCTCTGCTCCTTGTGGCTTCCTCAGACTACTTGTTTTCTTCCCAGATTTGATGGCAACATCCAGAAGCCACGCACCACAAATCTCTCCAGTCCAGAACCCAAAGAAAACGTCCTTATTTTTGCCTGAAGGTGCAGGAACATATTTCTCCCCCTGCCCCCAAATCATCTCTAGGTGGTGCCCTTCCCCTCTGAGTCTGCCTCGGAGGTGACGTTCCCCCGCAGAAGAGCTTTGGCAGGAGAGCTTGCAGTGCCCTCCACTGCCGTCTCCACGCCCTGTTTTAGAAATGGCACTTTTAAAGGCTGCCTTGCATTCTTGGGTTATTTACGTGATTTTCCCCACCCTCCCACACGGCCTGCCGTTTCCTTTTTCTACTGGCTGGTCCTTCTGCCTTCTATAGCCTTGGACAAATTCACTTTCCTCGAAAAATTAGAGAAGCAAAACAAGCACCCTTTTTGTGTTGCTGCTTCTCTTTCCCCCGACACATGAACCCTCTGGGGACCAGAAATGAAAATTATCCCTTTTTGACCCTCCCAAGACATGAGGCCGCAGGCCCAGTCCTCTGCACGTTAGACAGAGACATGTCCCACAACGTTCAGCCAACGTATTTATTTTTCTGATTTATGTCCTGCCTTTTAAAAAAAGTACTCAAAGAGGCTTACATCATTTTCCTTCTCCTGCTCTCAGCCATACCCCTACAACAACATCCCTGTAAGGGAGGCTGAGCTGAGAGTCTGGGACTGGCCCAATGTCACCCAGTTGGCTCCAGGGCTGAGCAGAACTAGAACTTGACTTGCCTGAGTCCCGGTCCCAACATTGGCGCCCACTGATTCCCGCTCTCTCTAAGCCCCAAGGGTACCACCCGACATCTTCCTGACCACCTCTGGGAGGATGTAGGATGTTTAGAGTCCCACAGCCTGCATGCTGGGGATGCAACCGCTGAGCACCCTCCCTGGCCCCCCGCAGCCCCCATGAAAAGAACTGCACCAAGTGCTTGGTGGGGGGGGGGGGAAGGGGGCATGCCACGGAGGCGAAGAAGGGAGGGGAAGGGGCTGGAGCCGTGGAGTAGCACCAGTTCCTATCAGTTCCTTTTCTGGTGCTGAAAGAAGACCACTGAAAATGG